AGCTTCGTAGTACAAAGAACAGCAACCTTCAAGACCTTGATCATGTCATCCTGGACACTTACATCTGCCACTTTTTCATCGAGAATCTTAACAACCGCTTCACGGTCACTCAGATGCGTTGAAACCCAGTAAACAATATCTTTTCCTTCCCCGTAATCCTCTTCAATTGGTCTCCTACCAGTTACTAGCTCTAGCAGCACAACACCGAAGCTATACACATCGCACTTTTCGTTCACTTTAGCAGTATATGCCAGCTCTGCAGGAAATCAGTTCAAAATGTTTGAATACATGCATGTTGTGAAGATTTTGGATACAATCTGAATTGAATGAGACGGTCCAATATAAAAAATGAAAGCAACATCAAATCTCGTGAGCAGATTAAAATTCTAGAGTTGTAGAAAACGTCGCAGAGAAATTGATACAAGCATAGTTGAAGTAAGAAACCAAGGCTAACGTATGTGACCAACAACGATGGAAGGATAAAAGTATGTGCTTTTGTAGATTTGAAACTCACCGGGAGCAATATAGCCATGTGTGCCGGCGAATGAGCTGTAATCAGAACCCTTCTGAGAATTTTCTGCAATCTTTGCAACCCCAAAATCAGCAACTTTTGCCTCATAATCGTCGTCGAGCAGAATGTTGGTGGATTTAATATCCCTGTGAATTATAGCTGGTGAACAATCATGGTGCAGATAAGCAATCCCCCGAGCTGCTCCCAAAGCAATCTTATACCTCTGGCACCAATCCAATTCGGGCTTCCCGCATTTAATCTCTCTGTGAAGCGCTTCAAACAAATTACCATTTGCCATGTACTCAAACACGAGAACTCTAGATCCGCCCTTCACTAAACAAGCGTATAGCTTCAGTATATTTTTATGCCTTATCTTCCCCAAAATGTCCATCTCTGCCATCAAAAGCTTCATGCCATCTCCTTTCCAAAGTTGTTTGACAGCTACCGTGCCACGACCTTTCTTCAAATCTATGCGGTAAACTTTCCCTGTACTACCACTTCCAATCAAATTTTCTTCTTCCAAATCGCATATCTCATCTGCATCTATTTCCAACTGGTGGAAAGATGCAAGTTTCCATTTCGGATCTTTCTCCTTCCCTGCTTCCAAATTATTTTCTCTGTCAACCGCCTTCCCAAGCTTGAAATTCTTATAACTGACAAGCAGTAATCCAGCAAAAACAGCAACCAACGCTGATGCTATAATAATGAACAAAACCAGTTTACTTTCAAGCACCCTTTTTCTATTCGGCTTTTCAGTACACGTGTTCATCCCAGAATTTGTGCGAGTTCTGGAATATTGATCGATGCAGAGTCCCTTGTTTCCGGCGAAGGCTTTGTCTCCTCCCATGGTCAGAAGATCAGATGGTACTCTTCCAGATAACTGATTCCCAGACAAATCTATAGAACTTAGCTTCAGTTTCGCCAAAGCTTCAGGAATCAAACCCATGAGGTGGTTTTTCGAGAGATTTAGAGAGTTCAAAGAGCTCATTAGTGATAATGTACGAGGGATATTACCAGTTAAAGAATTCGAAGCAAGATTCACGTCCACCAACTTAACACAGTTTCCCAATTCTGATGGTATTGATCCTGTCAAAGAATTGAATTCGAGATGCAAAGATGACAGCAGCTTTAGAGCACCCATTTCAGAAGGAATTTCACCAGAAAAGTTATTACTGCTCAGATAGAGCTTCTCCAAGTTCAATAGGTCCCCAAGTTGCGGTGAAAGATAACCTGAGAAACCATTGTTCTGCAATATCAACTGATTCAAGCTGGTAGAAAACCCAATGCTGGGGGATATCTCTCCGCTGAAGTTGTTATCACTAAAATCAATCATTGTCGCGTAGGGAAGTGACCAAAACTCGGCTGGAATCTTCCCAGACAAACGGTTCTGATTGACTCTCAGCCGCTGTAGAGATTTACAACGAACATAAGAATCTGGAAACTCCCCAGAAAAATTGTTGTCCAAAGCAAGCAAGAAATTTAACCTGCCGTTTTCACAAAGAAACCTTGGGAAACCACCTGAAAACTGATTCTCGGATATGTCGATGCTTTCCAAAGGTGAGAATCTACCAAAATTGGTCGGAAATTCCCCAGAAAATCTGTTTCCGTAGATTGAGACTGATCCAAGGTGTTTCATATCGCCGAACCCAGCAGGGAATTCCCCGGAGAAATTGTTCCCAAATAACTGAAAAACCTTCAAGTTCTTGAGATTTCCCATCTCCGAAGGCAACTTCCCATAAAACTTGTTTGATGAGATATCAAATTCCCTTAAGAGGGTGAGACTAGCAAGCCCTCGTGGGATTTCTCCAGTCAAATTGTTTTGAAAAAGTTCAATCTTATTGAGGTTTTGTAGATGGGAAATGGACTCAGAGATCTTCCCAGAGAGCTTGTTTCTCGACATATCCAACGTCTCCAATGCCGTCATTTCGTAAACAGATTCCGGAATCTCTCCTCTCAACTGGGTAAACCCCAGATGGAGCCAAGTTACGTGGGTCAAGTTTTCAAGCCCCTCAGGAATTTCACCTTCATCAAACTCATTTTCCCCAAGCACGAGAGAAACCAACCCAGTCAGATTCCCCACCCAGGATGGGAATGCGGCGGAGAAGAAGTTTGTCGAAAGATCAAGAATCTCCAATTTTCCGAGGGCAGAAAGATCGGGGATTGCTCCCACCATTTTGTTGCCGGTGAGATTTAAAGTTTTAAGATTTGCGCAACGAGTGACTTGGGCAGGAAGCTTTCCGGTAATGTTGTTGGAAGGCAGTGAAAGCGTCACTAGGCTGTCAAGACCACCAATGGCGGGCGAAATCTCCCCCGAAAGGGACTTGTTATCAAGAGAAATTCCAATCACTTTTCCGCTAATCCCATCACAAGCAACTCCGAAGAAGTTGCAGGGCGACCGGTCAGCGGTCTCTTTCCAGGAATCGAGAACATTCAGAGGGTCCTTGAGCTGCCTCTTCAACTCAAGGACGGCTTCAGTTTCCGTTTGACTTCCGACCGTTAGAGGCAAACATGGCGGGAAAAGCAAACCGAAGAGAAATACAGTTGATAGCAGCAAGTACAGTGCCATTGGCAATACAGTAATAGGTACTACTAGTAGGGGTAAAATGGTCAATTAAGGACAACGGAGCTTTAAATTTTGCGACCACCACCACCACCACCACTACCCCTACCCCACGCCGATGCTCTTATTTGAACTTGAACAAGTTCTGAGTAAGCGGAAGGAAACAGCTGTGCAGAAAAAGACCACAAGTCAATGTCTCTGACTGCATTATCTTGATAATTTATAATTTAATAATTATTATTATTATTATTAAAAAATACACGGTTAAATTAAAATTATTAATTTATAATTTATAATAATCTTTACTAATTGATAAAACATTCATTGTTAATCAAAACGCTATAAAATTATCAATTTAACACTTTAATTAAAAGAGAACATGAATCAGAAATATGGGGCAGAAATGTAATTTTACACAACTAAATTTTGCTGTTTTTTTTTTCAAAGCCTCACCTACATATAATTCTAACATATTTTTGATTAAAAAAAAAAAAATTCCTGCTCCTACATTCTCTATCACTCTCTTCCTCTCTCCTATTTAAAAAACAAAAATAAAAAATTTTCTTATGCACTTTGCGTGTGCCCATATGCTAGTATTTATTAAGCAGTGTTAGTAATCAATACCAACTAAGGGGACGTTAAAACGTCAATTTTGTCTGTAGCTGTGGATTCTCTTGCTTGCATATGAGAGTTATGGTTACTGTAAATTAAGACAACTTCATAATTGATTACCCTTGCAAGTCACTCATTAGTCCATCATTTCTTTTGCATATTTTCTTTTTTATTTTTAAAAAGGGATAAGCTGGTGGTTTACATTAATCCATCATTTCGAGACCTAGAAAGGTTTACATAAATATTTCAGCTTCTTTCTGATTATCATTGCGTGTTTCACAAGTGCTAAAGATCGAATTCAAGACATGCCATATGAAATACAGGCATGAAATTCTCCCTAGTCACTGGTCACCCGTGATGGTTTTTTCTTGTGCATATTTGAGGTTTATGTTATAATTATACTACCTACTAGTTAATCAATTAAATTTTTTAAAGATGGTATCTCCTTTTTTCTTTTGCATATCTGAGGTTTATGTTATAATTATACTGCCTACTAATTAATGAATTAAAAAATTGTAAAGATGGGATCTCCTTCATCGCATTAAATACTATCGAATTTGAGCTATGGTTCATGAACTTAAAATCGGTGAGTATTTGTTCTTGAATTTATCATAATGTGGAGCGATTGTCATTTTGAGTAATTTAGTTGGAACTTCCGCCAAATACCACTAATTTTGAATGGAAGTTCTAACCGTGTTATGCAAAAGAGTCATTGCTTCTTGTTGTGACAAGTTTAGAAATCAGTACGCGCATATTGTTGTGACAAGCCTAATTTCCTCAAATTTCTTAATTAGGACTTTAACTAATTAATAAAAATTAAAGAAAGCAAAAACTAAAATTTTGCAATTAGCAACAAATTAATTTAAAAAAAATTAAATCCACACTCGTGAGAAGAATGGCCACACACATATATATTGATATTTTGAGCCAGAAAAATAGCTTAATTTTGGATTAATTTTGGGTTTCTTTTTCAATAATCAAATCAGTGTTTTATTGTTGACCAAGACAAAACTTAGTTTTTAGATAGTAATCCAATCATTAATCAAGCAGAAGCAGTCATAAATTGAAAGAAAAATTTGAGAAAAAAAGAATTAATACAAGAGAATCGAAAATAACATTTAGAGCAAATAGATGTGACAGATGAGATGAGATTAGAGTACCTGATGGTGATCAGTTCCAAGTGAGAGGTAGATCATGTGGAGAGGAGGAAGCAGCATCGTCAAGTGTGGGCAACCAATGCCTCATCTCATCTGATGAAGAACCGATTAACAGCAGCTGGGAATTGGATCAACCAACTGGATGAATTTGGTGGCCAAATTATACAAAGTGTGGTCCTGGATCGTCGTCATTATCGCCTAAATCCGAAGAGCCAAATCTGTGCCAAGTCATAGGTTTCGAGATGGCCTGCAAGTAATCATCAAAACTGAATCAACTAATGTTGGTGCCAAGTATAATTTATAACAAGATGCCTCACAAAGTAGTGTAACGTCAGGAATACTTCTTTACATCTATGGCACTAATCCGTGTACTAACAATGCATCTTATGAGGAATTGTAATGTGTGTGGGGTTTTAATTTGTTCACATGTAAATTTCTTTACCTTATGGTATACGAACAGTTCATTTGTCTCGCTGCCACAAGCAATGTATTCATTATTTACTGCAAGACCTACAAAGTTCTTCTCGTTCATGTGGCCTCTGTACATGCACAACTGTCAAAGTGAAAACAAAATTACCTCAGACTTTGTTTCTAAATTCATGAAGTATCATAATCTGTATAGAAATCTAACGTGTCATAAGAAGATAACTCACGGGCAAGTTTTCCTTTACGTCCCACAACCGCAGTGTGCTGTCAGTGGATGCAGAAGCAAGTTCGTTGTTAGACAAGAATTTTACATACGAAACAGCTTTTCTATGCCCACGGAACACGTGCAGTGGTTGGCTGATGTTTCTCAAGTCATAATAATGAATGTGATGGTCAGCAGAGCCAACCTGCAAAATCACTAAGTGGATTAGGGCAAGACAATACATACTAGTTTTGTTTAATCGCCAATGGAATGGAATGAAACAAAAGGAATCAAACTGTAAATGCTAGAAAGAAATACGGTGAAGGTTAGAAATTTGGAATTCTGAAGAACAGAAACATACTGCCACGAAAAAGCTGGATCCAGGATTATACTTGACAGAACATATATTTGCCTTCATGTCGATGTTAAGAACACTTGGTTCTTGCTTTGTGCACCAAATTTTGACCTGAAAACACATGATGAGACCACTTATAAGCAATTTAATATGGACCACATGAGAATTTCATATGCGGTTGGCAAGAGCACTGAAATGTCATATTCTTAACGGATTTTCCAGAATGAACTTTACTCCATCTCGAATACCTTGCAGTCATCACTTCCGGACACAAGCATTGAAGGATCGGTGCATGAAAAATCAACGCTCCAAGCTCGCTTTTCATGCTCCTCATATTCCATCATACTCTGGTAAGAAAGAGCCTTGTTTATATAGTATGTGAACAAATGTGGCTGGGGCAGCAGAGGTGTGTAGATTGGCAAATATTTTTAAGGACAATCTTTCACTACCTGACAAGTATTTACATCCCAAACAGTTTACTACCCCCTCGTAGTCACTACTAGCAATATGGTTTCTAGTGTACTTATTCCAGCTCAAGCAACTAAGTTTGGATCGTGAGGATATCTCCACAATAGGACAGTGGATATCGGTTGGTTCGTTAACCACCTGAAAGTAATCACATTAGAACTTCTTAACTAGTCAATTGACTAAAGTGTAGCAAAAGTTGACGAGTATATATAGTATACACTAAACTGTAGTGAAAGCATTGTCTTATGAGGAAAATCAATAGTTATCTTAAAGTAAAATAAAAAATCAAGGAAGGTATCCCTTGCATATTAAACTATAACAAACTACTTTTAATTAAAGATCAACTAGATTACATCAGTAGCACTTGGAAGCAATAGATTGAGTCATCGCTCAACATCGGCCCTGGAACATTATCCAGTTTAATAAAAGACTAAAAGTTACCGACATTTTACAGCTGCAAGGTATCTGTCCAATGCTTACCGAGGAAAATTCAAAAACCTTGATGCACCGTGAAACTCCAGCAGTAGCAAAGAGCTCTTCATCACGATCAAATTCTATACTGCAGCAAGTATAATGGGAATCTCAAATGCCAACAGATTTGATTGAAATTTTCACACACAATTCACAAGTTGTAGTAACCAAATGACATGATAGGTCACAAGCTAGCAGCCCCTAATGAAGGGGAGTCATCCAATTTTTACAAAAAATGGTGCATGAGAGATGGCATTTTAAAATCACCTTGACACAATATTAGCAGAGTGAAAAAGATCACCGTGACTCAGTTCAGCAACGACTCTCAATCGACTGTTTCAAGCAACCAAACAGGTATGAGTGACTATACCAAGATAGGATTCCCTAAAAGAAGTTTGAAATGATACGTCACAAGTTTATACCTGTATTGTGTAAAGCTTGCAAGCACAGATTGAAAATCTTCAAGGCCTGGATTGTAACCTTCTATGTCCATGGCGTTTGTGTCCTCTTCCTGTCTGTTCCAATTTCGTCGCTTTTGCAAGTAGCAGTCTTGTAGATCATTAAACTGTTGCAAGTTGCATAGCAAGGAAAAGGAAAAGTACAATATTTAGAAAGCCTTAACATAACCAGAACATGCAAACAATCCTTGGATCAATTAAGCCGACAACAAACAGAACAAAAGTCACTTTGCAAGATTGCTAACCTGCGAATGGACACGCCTTTTTCTTGCTACTGATAGTACTCCTCGTGTTGTAACACACTGCATTTCAGACCTTCCATAAGCATCCTTCAGTTGGAGCAGCTTGGAGCTTGATTGCCCGTTTACATCAGCTCTCTCTTGTTCTGTAGGTTGAAAGAACTCATCCGGTCTTGCACATATTGAGTGCTGCAGGCAATGCCGTTGCCATGCTGATCACCGGGAACAAGCATTCTCAGCTTTGCGGACCTCTCCTGTTCCCAGCTGCATAGTTCTAGTCTATGCCTCTCAACGGCAGTAATGTCCTCCTTGATGTACCTGAGATCGGCCTCTAACTGCAGAGGGAAACAGAACAACATAACCAATCCCCGTGCCAAAAACAAAACAATTAGAAAACTAAAACCAAAAACCTATTATAATTGGAACCTCATTGAGCTCTTGAAGCTTTTGCCTTCTCAGACAATGTAAGAAGCTAAGCATGATGTCCATGCTGTTCTCGGCTTCTTGTAGCTCCATTTTTCTCCTCTTCTCTTCCAGCAAGGACAAAAGGCCGTCCAGCTCTTTGATCGAAATCTCGCAGCCCTGTCTAAGATTGCCAAGAACAAGTCATTCATGTAGATTCGACCATTTTTTTCTTTCCCTTTTTCGATACAAGTGATATTGGGGTAGGGGATTCAAAACACAATAACTTCGTAGCAGTAAAATTTCTAAACCACTTGAGTTAATTAAGCAAGATTAAGTCAATAAAGATACAAAATTTCGATTAATAGTGACAAACATGACTAAGGCTTGGAAATGCTTTTAGCTAAAAGCGCCTTCGAATAACCAAAACGTTTCTAACCCGACGTTTCTAACAAGATTTTACTGAAAAAGTTACAATTTATTAAATATTTCGACGTTCTTGTTGAAATAAAAGCACTTATGAGTAGAAGTGCTTTCTAGGAAAGCATTTTCAAACGGGCCCTAATACTGACCTTGTTCAATTTCCGACTAAGAAGTTCAAAATTCTTCGCCATCCGAGAATCCAAAACATTTTTCAGCAACTGCAAATTCCAATAAAAAGTTGCAAACTTTCGCGCACTTTCTCGGCAACCAAACACCAAAACACGTCCAAATCCAAATCTGAAAAAAGCGGGAAAAGAACGAACCTTGTCGAGCAAGAAATTGGGGAAAATGCTGGCGGGGGTGAGGGAGCTAGCGCAGCAAGGGCAATCGCTCTTGATGCGGAGGTGAGTTGAAATGCAGACGTGGCAGAAACTATGGCCGCAGGCGGTGAGGCAGGCGTCTCTGATGATCTGCATGCATATCGGACACTTCATGTCCTTGTCCGGCTCGTCGTCAAACGGCGCCGTTTCGGCGGCGGAGTCCTGGAAGTATTCGGATTTCACGGTGGGGACCAGCGCACCACCCATTGAGCTCTCTCCCATTGGAGGGACTGAAATGGAATTGAGGACTTTGTAGTGAGAGAAAGAGGAGAGAGAGAGAATTGAAGGCTGTGTGTGTCTAATCTGGGTGAAGCGTGCGTGAGTCGACCATTTGACTTGAAGAGTTTCTGAGGGCGAGAACTGCCCACGTTAGGCGGGTAATTATTTTTTGTTTTATTTTATTTTATTTTTTAAATTTTGGGAGGGACGATCGAGCATTGAACGCGACGTACTAATTTAAAAGCTGGTGTATCAGAAACTAACTACCACTAATTAATAAAATGGAATCGTCCACCGAACCGATAAAGTTTTTAATACGTTGAGAACACAATTTGGTACATAAATATCAAAATATAATTGGTTAAAAAAAAGTTTCAAGTATTCATCAATTGTATTATTATATTTAATGTATCAGACCGTATTTTAGATATTGAAAAATCTCTCGTTCAAAGAGAAAGAAAAGGTGAAGAAGAAAGGACTGAAGTAGTCTCCAAAAAAAAGAAAGGACTGTGAAGGTTTACATCTATTTGTCTCCCTGGTACCACCAAGTTCGAATCACTCATTTTTATAGTTTAAAATAATTTAAGTAGTATCATTTGTGTCAAAATTAATAGAATGAATTTGCGTGTTCTACTTTCATGGATTTTCATTGATTTTTTTCACCAAACAATTAACTAACTCACTAAAATTTTCGCTTTACTAAACAAAGAGTTTTAATTTATGGTAAACGGTAAACTTGAAAAGTATGTGCATGTTCGCTCTATTCCTAACACCTCAACGATTAGATTTTTAATATATATGTAATTGACATAACAAGACGAGAATCAGAATAATTTCAATACGCATTTCTAAGTGGATGAATAGCGATAATATTGAATGATTAGAGTGTAGGATAGCCAATGGGCTATAGTGCAAGTCGGTTTGGTCATCAATCAAGAAGACAGTTCGATGGTTCGACTTATTTTCTTGGAAAAAATGGCCCATGGATGTGGACCACAGAGTTCGCTGCTAGTGATGGAATGATACTGCTGTTTGATATTTTCTCTGGTTTTAAATGCAGCCGGACCCAGGCGGTTTGCGACAATCCAACGCAACCTAGTTGAAGGATGCACCCAAGAAGAAGGGAAGTTTTAACAAAATATTTTTGATACTGTTTAACAAAAAAAAATAATAATTTTATTTTAAGAAGTCACTTTTAATACTATTCATTTACAATAATTTTTTTTCATTTTGATTAAAACTTAAAAGCCTGTTTGGTATTGGATTTGAATCCAATATTTTTAACTCAAAAACAAGTTTTGAGTCACAATTTAAGATCTTTGTTTGGTATTTGATTTGAAAACAGTTCTCAAAATTCCAACCCAAAAATATTTGAAAACAAAGCCTATTTGTTGAAAACACAAAATGTATGTTTTTAGACTTTTTTTTGGAGATTCAACCACTCCAGCAAGAAGATCACTATTTAAGCTCAAAACCCCAACAAGAAGATCATAATTTACTGTGAGAAAGCCCCCCATCAAACCCTTCAACTTAACTTTTTTTTTTATTTATTAGTTTAAGAGAAGTTGCATACCAAACAAGGTTTTGGATTCAAAATTTTTAAATCAAAACATGTGTTTTTAGAAAAACTCAAAATTTTGAGTTTTGTTTTCAAGTTAGATACCAAACGGATCCTAAAGTTTTCAAACCATTTTCATTAATTTTCCTAAAAAGAAGATGTTGGGTTTGGATTACCACATGTTAATGATATAAGACACNGGGGAAAAGATAAACTTTCATTTAACGCTGCTGTGGGATCAGGAAATATTATTAGAGAGTCGATGACAATAGTGTGCACAGCGCCTAAATTTTTGGACACTTATATCACGTAAATTGACATTTTATCGAGTTTTTGATTTGGTAGGCTTAAAGATATTTATCAAGTCATACTGCACGTTTGTTAATAATTTTTGAGCGAGTATGTCGTCTGATGTTAATAGCTTATGAACGAGCATGTAGACATATGTCAACATATGTCAAGTGAGTGTATCGAAAGATGTCCATATCAACTTATACAAAGGTATAAGGCTAGCAGATACCCTGCCCGTGCTTATAAAGGATATTCGTCGAACAACTGGAGGACAAATTTTCAAGGACATCTCAGATTTTCTAAGTGTAGCACCCAGCTCTTGAAGAATATCTACACTTGGAGGGTTCAGATGACCCCGCCTTGCTCCAAAGTGGATCTATCCCTAATGTAAAGTATACAATGATTGAGTATGTAATATCTTAAGTCACTAATATAAAACCTTATAAAAAGATATTATAAATATCATGATAACAATGTACTTAATGTATATATATCTTTACCCTCAACAACTATCTTATGAGATTGAAATATTACCCGAAACAACTGTCTTATGAGATTGATGATTACTATTTCCATGTGATGTGTAGTACAAAAGAATATTAGTGGAACCAACAAATGCCGTATGGTTGGTATTTAAGGACGAGTTTATCCCTTTCAAGCTAAGCTAAAATAAGACAAACTTATTAATTCTACGCAAAAACAAAGTGGAAGTTAACGAGCCTACCTACCATGATCAAATTAAGGTTTTTCTTTTTTTAAAAAAACCAAGGAAAATACAGTTTAAACCACTCTCTTGAGTATCCTTTAATTTTTCAACAACAAAAAACATCTTCTTTAATTTACTCAATTGAAATACAAAAAATAAACAAAAGTGTGAAGTAGGCGTACGCAAATCATTATAAAAAATAAAACAAGATAATACAATTATGAATTTGAAACAACTAAGACATGTGTCAAATCAATTACACCAACTCAACTTTTTTAAGAGAAAAGTATTAAGGAAGAAAATATAGAAACCTAAGCACGTACTAGCATGCGAACAACTAGGGCTTGTTTCGTAACTATTTTATGTTTTGTTTTTAGACTGTTTTTTTTTTTTTTATATATGTGGAAAATGTAAAGGATTAAGACCTAGTTTGGGAGTGAGGTGCTTAAAAAAAAAGCACCTATGAAAAAAAGCTGTGAGGGTTTTAGGTGTTTGGTAAACTGAAAAAAAAAGGGCTTATTTTGGAAGCTGCTGTGAGAATAAGCTGAAATCAAAGGAAAAAGCTGAAGCTGCTATTTGCAGCTTTGGAAAACTGGCTTTTTTTCAAAGCACATGGAGCTACAGTGCTCCTTTAATGAAAAGACCCACTATCAGACTGCTTTTTTTTCCAAAAGCACTTTTACAAAAAAGTTTACCAAACGCTCTGCTGCTTTATTTCACAGCCGCTTATTCTCACAGCACAACCGCTTATTCTCACAGCAGCTTTTTTTCAAAGCACAGCAATACCAAACCAGCCCTAAGGAAGATGAAGAAACGCTGGTGGATGAGTGGGAAAGAAATAAAAAAGAATGGACGAAGAAAAAAAAATTGAAAGTGAAAGCAAACTCGAATATATATTTTGTTTTACTTTTTACTCTTTAGTGTTCTTTGTGTATCCTTGTTCGAGCATTTCTTCTGTTTTTTCAGTTAAAATGGTCTTTAAGATTGTCATAAAATATCACTTGGATCATTGACAATTAAAATCGATAGAATTGATTATTGAATTTGTCAAACATAAATCATTTTTGTCTTTTTGTGAAAATCTGTCAACATACTCGTTAAGTTGAGGAATTGGTTTGACAAAAAAGTCCTTAAAAGATGGTCACGTGGTCGTTTAGTGACAATTTAACAAAAATATTTATAAATTTTTCACGAAAAGACCAAAATAATGTATGGTGAACAAATTAAAAAACCAATATCAATTTTCATTATCAATGTCCAAAGTGAAAAGTCATGCTAATCTCAGAAAGAAGCCCGTTTCCTCTTCATCTCTACTTTCTACCTTATACTTCTTCACATCTCAAGTACAAAAACATGAAAATTAAAAACTATAAACCTGTATATATATACAAGTGTTACTTGGTGATTGTTTTAAGGAAATGAGCTCTGCTTAGTACTTCAACTCACATAAAATTTGAACTTACTTCGATCAAGCCAGGGTGCCGACATTAATTTGGAATTTAGATGTCACATTGTTAGTTGGTTCCACATGGTCCCACGAAAGAATCATTTATAAGGACTCGACATACACTCTCATCATACAACCATCTCTATCAGATGATCTGTGTCAAAAACTCGTCATTACATAGGTAATGTGATCAAATAGTAATACAACAGAAAGCTACGGAATACGGCGAGCTACGCTTACCCTAAACCCCACATACCGTAAAAAGCGTGCGAATGTCGATGTACTATTGACACTCGATGAACCGGTATAGACATAAGTAGGTTCTACATGTTCAAAAATCGACGGAAACTACCTGAAATGTATAGATGGCCTTCTTGTACAATCCTATCTTTCGTGAATCATCTACGATTTTTCGACCCCATGTAACGGAAAAAATATAAAATCCAGCTCCTTCCCTGTTTTTTCTGTGTGATTAAAAATTTCCATGGTCGCACAGTTCAGGAACCTCCATGACGGCGATAGAGTACCGACCGATAAATGGCAGCAACATGGAAGAACACAATGAGCACTATGAAGAAATCATCCAAGAGACCGGCTATACCAAATATTGCTGCAGGAACGCTCAAAACAAGGACGATGTATTAATAATAGCACAACAACGACTCCACAAGAAAAATACAACTAAGTTGAAAGCATAAGAAACACCTTCCGGGATGAAGTCAAAAGGACTGAATAGGTACGCAGCACCCATTATCATCTGTATATTTAAGAAAACAAAATTTTTAAAACGGTCAGAACTTCGTAACGAACATGCAGTATACAAGATACTTCAGATTAAAGATGAGTTCTCACATAACGTTACTGCCAACCACATAAACTGCATTAACAGCTGCATGAGAGTGCAAGATATAAGAGAAGTGATCGCATATTGTGTCAATTACTTAACTGCAATCCAAACACGAGCCCTTATAACAAGGGGAAGAGATCTATCAGGATTAATTAGTTCTCGCAGCAGCCTCCGCAGGAGAAAAGGAAGGTCCTGCGCTCTCTGTTCAAAAGAGGATTGCCATTTATAGAAACAGATTAGAAATGGAGGAGTGGTGATCTACTATCTATATCAACTACGAAACGATCTTCAATGTATGGAATAAAGATACTTTTTCAGGAGTTAAGAAACCAAAATGGCATCTGAGGAAAAATTCTGTTCCTTACAGGAAAAGAAGATATAAACACTTTACTTCTCCAGGAGTCTTAAAATAAAGAATTAATTTGTTTTGAAAGTGTATTCTTTTCATGCAGTTGGACGAGTACAGAAACTGCATATATTTTTCAACAAAAAACATATCTAATCATATTATTCAACAATGGTGGGTGTGTGTGCGTGTGTACATGTCTGTGTATTATAGAGGCTGCTCCAATTAAGAGGGACACCCTTGCAACTCCCACTTCCCATTGAACCTCAATAATTCAAACAGTCTAATTATTAGGTCTCCCCTCAAAGATCATCCTTGCAAAATATCACTGAAATCCGAAACGGTTGACTACTAAATTAAATGTTTGTCACTTTTAGTGTTTTCTTGATGTACCATGTTTGTCTATTTTCTTGACTCAAACTAGATGGCTAAATGGTCAGATTTGTCTCATATTTTAAGAAGATGATCTTTGAGTGAAGAACTAATAAATAGATTGTTCGGATTATTGACATAAATAAGAAATGGGCCCCACAAGGTTATTTGATGTATAGATATATTCATTTACCTGAAGAAGACTTCTGGAATGACCTCCAAAAACACGATTGTACCTTTCAACCTTCCTTAGAATCTCTGCAACCTCCGGCCTATCAAGCTGCCTTGAAGACGCCCTACTTGGAACCAACAAAGTGATGGGACGACGACACAGTGGGCATTTACAAGGGCGAACTGCCGATCCATGATGCCAAACAAGCATAATACAATTTCCTGAAGAAAGGGAGCCAACGATGCATTATCAGCCTTTATTTTAATGATTACTCAATTGGAGTTCAAGCCTTGTAGATTATATGTAATGGAATCTGATACTTGCATGTTTGTATGTTGTAAGAGTCCTGCTAATTCTACTTACACTCAGAGTGTTATACTTGATCCGTTATCTGTGGCTGGTTTTGAGCATGTGCGATAGGTGCCCTTAGCATAGGGCCCCCAATCTGTAAAGGACCCCTAAAAGATGATATCATCTACATATGTACCAACTTGGTTTGTGGCAAAAAAAGCTTCATCTTTGGGAAATTTATAGGTTCTGCATGAATAAGAGAAATATGACACCCATACGCATAAGAGAAATCACTTTTATGTTTTTAGTTTGGTTCTACTGGCTTTGCTCTAAATTTTGATTTTTTCCATGATTTTTTGTTGACTTGAACTATAATTCAATTAATAATACTTCATTTAAATTCCTTACTAATACAACCATAGACATATAAATTAGCTTTGTAGCAGGAGTTTTATACAAGGGTTCATTTGCTATCTTCCGCACAGAGCCCCTAAATCTCAGAGGTGACACAGTATGCAGTGAATGCTAAATAGAACATCACGCCCATTCAGTTCAGAATATTCTCAATATGCATGTTGGGGATTTTGTAACCACTTCGTATATCCACAATCTCTATAATCTATTGAAACAAAGCAATTCCAAGCATAGATCACTTTTACGTACAATAGAAGCAGTAAACTTGTCAAACATCAAAAGTCCTTATGGTGCGCTTGGAGAAGGGGATTTTTAAGTTCCATGTAACGTATGATAAATTTGTTAAGAATGCACTACAAAAAATAGATAAAGGGACTTGAAAATCACTAGATGCAATACATTTGATAGAACTTTCAAATAACTCCTTGAAGGTGTCATTTAGTGGTGTTTCAGTAGTAGCTTAACAGTGCTTGAGTAGTTCATTGGTAGTGTTCTTGTGATGCATTTTAACAATAGAGCTTAAATTGCCTTGGCACTCGAAAGTCTCTCATCCAAACATAAGGTTAAAGCCTAAGCGGGAGATGTTCTATAACCAAAGTCAAGCGAAAAACAGCATTGCGCCTCTATATGAATGATGAATGAGTTAAGGATCTGTATAATCAAGTTCAAATGATCATTATATATATAAATATATAGGCACCATGGGCATCCGCGGGATTTATAACCAGACTTGGAATTGTGCTTGGAAAAACTGGCTATCAGATGTTAAATGATAGGCGGACCAAGAATATCAAGTCCATTCTACTTGGAATGAAACATACATTGAGCGAAGAGGGGAATTTTTTTTACATATAAGTGTTTCCTTTTCAACATTTTTAAGATGCAAGTCTTGGAAACCTACACGAACGTGTTCTTCCTATTTACAGAACTCTGCAGAGTATAATTACATGTACAAAATCACATCCTGTTTTGACTTCTCTTGATATCAATAAGAACAAGAGACTAACAGTCCATAATGAATATGACCGGTTTCTATGATATCAAATGATAATGACTGGATATCTACAGCGATTTCTCCAAGAGCTCCATCTTCGGCCCCCTTCTTAGTTTTCACCAAACTTTTAAGTTAGCATAGCTAAAGCTAAATTGGACTTGTTTCAAGGGGAAAACATCATATAATTGGTCGAAATAAACACCCAATTTGGATGTGGATTATAAGTCCCTTCGCTCTAAAGAGCAAATGATATCGAAAGCCGCCGCTACTAAAATCTTCTGAGTAATCAATCAAGTCTTTCAACACAAGCATGCTTAAATGATCAATCAATCGAATCAAAACATGAAAAAGCATGCTTGAGCAAAATACAAACAGAAGCAGTTGAAACAAAATAAAATGCATAAAATACAGGTGAATGCAGAAATTGAAGACGAATTGGGTTTAGGGTTCTTTTATATTGCACAAAACCAAGAGCAACATTGGTTGTCTGACAGAAATGTAAGCGAGGAAATAGGAATGAGAGTGAGGGAGGAAGAAAGGTACCGCAAAACCAGTGAGAGCAATTGGCCTGACAAGGAGTGTCGAAGTTGCCATGGCAAACCGAACACAGATCGCCGCCTGGAGGGCCGTCCATTCCGATCTCTCCTTCGCTTACCCCGCCGTTCGTCTCTTAGATACTCTGTCCCCCATTAATCATGACGTGCCACGCAAATGGATAAACACGTATCGCTTTTTGTTTTGGATATTAACTTTTGGAAGAAGAAAATAATTCAAATTTAGAAAGGCAAAAAAAAAAAATTATAAATTGACATCCATTACCTGCGAGGACTTACAAACCTTGTAATCTAAAAATTTTGCGTGGAAAAGAAAAATTTAGAATTTGAAATCTCCAATCCATAAGCTTAAATTATATATAAATAAATGTCATTTTCACCATTATATGTCACCAACACTTACCACCTGCCACCACCACTCACGATTATCTTCACCATCATAGTTGTCGGCACCACTATATACAATTGTGACCCCTGCCACTACCACTGCCAATATCACAACCTGCCGCTACTTCACACTATCATCATCATCATCATCATCACTACTACCACTTCTGTCACATTTTCTAACTATCTCTCATATATATATATATATATATATATATATTAATGACTATATATACACATTAAATATTTAAATTTCATTATTCTTTTAGGTTAACCAAACAAGAAAAAAAATTAAAATTGGAATTCTTTACTAATCTTAAATTTCTCATCTAACATATTAATTTTTGGGTTTTTTATCACAAATGGTCCCTGAAAATTGACTCACCATCAAGATGGTTCCTGAAATTGAAAATCAATCAATTTAGTCCCTGAAAATAGGTGTCGCAAATCAATGCAATCCTTCCATCACAATTATGTTAAAAATTCCGTTAAGTGCTGATGTGGCACATAAATGGTCCTTAAAATTGACATGTGACATCAAAATGGTCTCTGAATTAAAAATCAATCAATGTAGTCCCGCAAGTAAGTGTCCCAAATTAATGTAGTCATTTTGTCACAATTCTGTCAAAAATTATGTTATATGATGATGTGACACATAAATGGATAACACATTAAATTAAAAAAAATTACAAATAGGTTTAATAATTTAATAGTTAATAAAAAGTTGTGAACACAAAAACCTAGTCATGCAATCACCTCCGATCCCAGTACACATTCTTCTATTTATTCTCTAAAAAAAATCTCAATACACCCATTTTTACACACTTCGACACCCTTCACTGAATTGAACCTCAATCGAGGTCATCTTTGGTGACGACTTGACTAATTGGAAACGACTTCTGGGACATCATCGCTAACATTTAAGCGATCAACATCCTCACAACCTTAATCTTGGAGAGCTTGTTTGACGCTTCCTTTGTGGTATGGTGACTCAAAGAACAGCGATGTATGTCTTGAGATAATGAGGTTATAACTGAGGTGCGTCTATTGTTGGTTGAAAACTATTTCCAAACCCTTTATTAGGCCTTAGTTAAACCTTGTGCATTTGAGAATTTATGGAAAGGATCTCTCTTCGGAGTAGGTCCTGCTATAAGAAAAAAATTATATTGTGCAAAAATGTATTTAGACAACTTTTTTAACTAATTATTAAACCCACATCAGCATATAACATAAAATTTTACAAAATTGTGGTGGAATGATCATATTGATTTACAATACCTATTTTCAAGGACTACATTAATCGATTTTCAATTTTAAGGATCATCTTGATGATGTGGGTCAATTTCAGGGACCATCTTGATAACGTGAGTCAATTTCATGGATCATTTGTGATAAAAACGTGTAAATCTTGTAGGGCCCATTTATGTGCCACATCAGCACTTAACGGAATTTTTAACAAAATTATGACAAAAGGACCATATTGATTTGCGACACCAATTTTCATGGATTACATTGATTGATTTTCAATTTCAATGACCATCTTGATGGTCATGGACAATTTTATGGACCATTTGTGATAAAAACCCTTAATTTTTTTTTTGGAGTAGTCCAAATATGACACACCCCGACCGAGATCAAGGCATGCTGGCCGTCACGTGAGAGTGACGTAGCCATGTGCACAGTGCGGAATCAATAATGATAAGAATGATATGAATAATTAAAAACCAAATTACTAGAGTGCACTACTAAACAGAAAGTGTTAGGAGTTAGTTACAACAGTAAACACTCCTAATCAGAGCATAAGTCTAGGTGCAGTCCAGTAGGTCAAGTACTAGTTATACAGTACCAGGAATGTCCTACTATTATTTAGACAAGTCAGAACAGCCGACGTCCTCGAGCCACCAACAACAAGCTTACTTAAAACCTGGAGGGGCGCAAAACATAAAACGTGAGTGGGCAAAAACAAATGTTTTACAAAACCATTTCATTTAACAATACTAACCCCTCGCTGTAAAACATATATAATTTTTCCCAGAATCAAGATATAAGCATATACATAATATATATATATATATATATATATATATATATGTATATGTATATGTATATATGTATATATGAAATCATATCAATTCAATTCATGCTTCACATAATCATATTCATATGCATGCCATGCCAAGATATAACAGAGTAAGCAATTCAAGTAAGAATAATTTCATAGAAATATGATATGTTAGCCGGAACCCCTGTGGTAGTCTGTACGGCTGAATTCATAGCTCAAAAGTCAATCTAGCCGAAGTTGCTACAATGACTTACACGGCAATATACTGCACATAAGTCGGAACCACTAATAAAAGGTTTGTACGACAAGATTTGGTGTAATATAATTATTCTCAATTTTACTCTCTCATAATAGCTGGGCGATAAATCGCTAGTCACCTACGAATCAGAACCATAAATAAGGTCTATACGATAAGACTGTGCACTTAAGTTGGATCCAATATGAGCATATAGTGCGGGAGGTGACATAAATAAACAGGCCTGTACATCATATCTCTGGCTAAATCACAATCACCCTAAGTGCAGTTTTATGAGCTCAACAGTATTCAATCACATATCACATCATCGATGATTCACATAACCAACCATGACTTACTTGAACTTACATGTGCCTCCACAACACCACATTTATATATATATATATATATATATCACACACCAATTCATACACGAAACATAATTGTATATGCATGGCATTTATGGCATATTATCATTTAAACATATTTTTCTGGGAAAATACCAAGTATATAAATATATACTGAAAACCAAAAGCCCACTTACTGGCATGTCGACGGGTCGTAACCCCCGAGTCGCCCGTGGATACGCTCGTCCTCGGGATAAGTCTCACCTATATGTGAATTAACTATAAAAACGTTATTTTAAAGCATATAGGAAAAACTAGCTAATAACTTTTCATACAAAGCTCAAAACGGGTATATGAATATACCACAGTGACCTACACAACCCCAGGATCATCCCCATATTTTTAAAATAATTTTTCGACCGTCCATGCACCGCAGAGGCACGGCTCTACGCGCCCCCACGCGGCGCCAAACCTGACGGATTCCCTAACCACCGTTAAGGAATATTCTGTTAAAGCCTAACATATTCCGTTACATTTAACTGACGGCGTCAGAATATTCCGTCATAATTGATGGAATATTCCGTTGTCTTCAACCTCAGACTCCGGTGACCATCGCCGTCACCGGAAACTGGGAAAATCTTTAAACTCACTATTCTCACTTGTTTTTCAACCATTTCCTACGAAATTACCACCAAAATGAAGCTTAGGGTTCATAGAATCACGTTATACCTATTTGAAGCTTCAAATTCCACAAGATCACGTCGGAGCAAGCACGAAAATCCGGTGACCTCTGCAACTCCTTGAACCTGGGCTTTCCAATGTCTAATTTTCACCAACGATGCACCCCGACCATCGAGGGAAGGTCCTTGAGCTTGCTACAATCCTAGAAATCGAAGAAATTCACGGGTTTAAAAGTTGGTGAACCGTGCCACCCTCGGAGGTTCGATTTCCATGGTTTCCTTACGTTCAAACTTAGCCAAAACTCATCCAGAACACTTAGGAGGAAGATAAGATACCTTTAGGAGCCTTGAAATGGTTTGAAACCTTGATGATCACCACGGTGGTACTGTACCTCGACGGACCTCTTGGTTTCAAGGGTTTTTCTAAAGCTCTACGTTCTAAAATTGTATGGATGAACTCGTATCGCCTCGAGGAATACAATGGTGAGCTTAATACCTTCGATCTGTGAAGTTTAAAGTGATTTTGGTGCTTGTCCGTACATATGAAGAGGAGAGAGAGTGAGTCCGAGAGAGAGAAGAGAGAGCACGAGAGAGAGAGAGAAAGGATGTGTGGTCCAGATTTTTGGGTCACCAATCAAAACAAACAATTTCCTTACTTCCAATTGGGTCCAAAAACTTAGGAAAATAATGAATGGGTCCAATATCCAACTTAAATCACACCACATACTTTAACGTCCAAGGGTAAAATTGCCATTTTCCGTCATCGAGAATAATCTTCCGGGATGGGCTGTGACAAAATAGGTGATAGAAAGGGCCTGCAATGCCACGTAAGGTGATAACAAGGATACTAACAAAAGATTGTAACTTTGACGGACTACAACAATATAATGAAATTGAAATCCTAAATTTTTTACATGACATTGCAATAAGATATTGTATGAAGTTGCAATTTGACACAAATTTGATACCGCAAAAACTATAATTTACCCTTGGAATTTCATTGACCCTTGAATTGTACTAGATTGTAGCCATGCCGCGTGTGTTCATAATTTGAACTTGGAAGTGTGACAAGAACAGAGTTTAAAATTTATTCGATACGGTTGATTTTCCATGGAAATATCCAAAAAAAAAAACTAGAGAAAGTATGGAAAATGGGTAACTTCACCTCATATCGAAAAAACTCTTAAGTTTAGGTGTGCCAATCTTTTTATTTAAACTCTTAAGTTCGGACATATTTGGTGTGCCAATCTTTTTTTATTCATACCTGGCGGCAATCTTAAGTTTAGGTGTGCCAATCTTTTTATTTAAACTCTTAAGTTCGGACAAATGGCACACCCACTCACACATTCGGTTAAAAATAAAAACTCTTAAGTTTGGACTGGAAAACGGCTTCTTTAAACTCAATCTTTTTATTTTTCAGTCCGAACTTCGCGGCGGAAGGGAGCACTATGCTCTAACCGATTTGGCTACGATTATGTCTGCTGTTGTTTTTGAACATCATTATATTTGTGTGATTTAATTTAGTTAATATTTGGATTGCTTGGAATGATTAATTCTTTTGTTTGTGTTTATTTCTTACAGTAAGCACTATGCTCTATAGTTCCATTGGTTTCAGTTTTACCAGGAAGAAACTGAAACGATGCCGCCACTTGGCTCCTTCAAACGCCACCCCCTTGGTGGAATTGGAGCTCCCGCTCCTTCCCTTTCCCTTGAACGAGGTTTTCACTTCAATTTCTCTTTCTTTAAACTCAATCTTTTTATTTTTCAGTCCGAACTTCGCGGTGGAAGGGAGCACTATGCTCTAACCAACTTGGCTACGATTATGTCTGCTGTTGTTTTTGAACATCATTATATTTGTGTGATTTAATTTAGTTAATATTTGGATTGCTTGGAATGATTAATTCTTTTGTTTGTGTTTATTTCTTACAGTAAGAACAATTATTTCTAATTTTCGAAAAACTGGTTTTCGAAATTACAGGTTCTAGTTCCCTCTGAGAGTAAGGCATTGCACTTATATGAAGCAAGGTATCTAGCTCTACTGGAGGACGTAATATATACTTTCATTGCTACATTTTCTCCGATTTGATGACAGCATGAGTTTTGAGTGTTGAGCAAGTAAGGTGGAAGAAATTTTGTTAGAATAAACGAAAGAGTAACATACAACCGCGAAAGTATATTGAAACAAGAACCAACCGTGCGATAAGTTTTTAAGAAGATGCTTTTGCTGCTGTTGTTCTTCTATTTTAGGTGCTTTGCTTTTACGAGCAGCTTTTTGTAAGCCACAGCATACCGAATCAGGCCTTCTTGGCTCTGAATTATATGAGGTCGGAAAAATTCATGGAGATTTAAGTCAAATTGGTCTTGCTAGGGAATTTGTGAAGTTACAGTCGGCAAGCTACTGAAAGTCTGTTTGGTTACTTTCGCAAAGCTGCTATTGATAGGTAGAAGCACTTAGTGAGATAGTCGTAAGTGTTGTGAAGATATGATGTAAAATGAAGATGGTCTGCCGACTTTCCTCAGACAAATACCTGTCAATTGGCACATTAACATCGTAGCTATTGTGCTTATCTATAATCAAGTAGTTTTCTGTAAAGTTATATACCATTGATAGTAATAATGTGCAGCACCTGGAAAGAACGACATGATTGCTCTTCGGATGAGATTATAGAACACAGAAATATAAGTCCATTTGAATTTTATAAATTGTTCGTTTGAATGCTTTTGAAAAGCATAGACAGAGACACCCAAATTCAAAAAAATTAAAAACCGGGGGATTTCTTGTATGCATTAAGAAATGTCCGAGTCCTTTGGTGCTAATGGTGAAATTCGATGGTTCAGTTAGTGTAGGTTTTCCATGGCAGCTGCAGGTGCTCATCACATGTCACATATATGGAAGCCCTTTGGTTCACCTTGAATGTTTTTCGATGTTTAAATCAAGCAATGTGGTTAAAACCCAAATATCTTTATGCCAAAGGACTGTGACTTGGTTTAACAACCGACACCTATTCAAGCCAAACAGAAGGGACTCCGGTCTTGTCCACCATTATTTGGCGCCTGCTTTAGAATTATTAACATATATAAATTCTGTTATTTTGTGTAGTTGTAATTCCCGTATGTTTGTCAGTATATGTAGCCCTGCGTGTGCACAACTGCGGGTCATTTTATGGTGAGAATCACAAATTGTCGTACACCCAATCACTCATTCATGCTACTTTTGTATTTAGTATAACATGAATCCGAAAGGTGACCTGTTAGGGAGATCCTATGGTGTGGTTTGGGATGTCAGAAAAACTATTTGTATTCATCCTACTTACAGTTTATTCTATTTGTTGCAGTCGTTGACAAGGAAGAAGCTTTTTGTGCATTTTGTGTTGGATCCTATCATCATTGACAATTTATCAGGAGAAGCATCCTTTGCAACCAGAAATGGTTGCTTGGTTTTCATAGAAAATGTAAGCTTCTGAACTTCAATGTAATTTCCAAATATTTAAAGGACCTTAAGAACTAAAATCATTCCAGTACTCTGCAGGTTGAGCGTTTAGAAGTTGGAGCACTAGTCTCTATTAGAGGAATTGGTCGTGTAATTATTGTGAAATTTGTGCAGGTGAGAACTCAGAATACAATGAATTAAAGAAGAATTTCCTAATCACAGAGAAATCGATCACTTGCCAAATCAGGTTATTAATTTCTTTTTGGAAAGGAAGATACTTTATTAATTGCACTTACATTGCATGGTTTAGTAACGGTGAATACATGCACCCTGCATTTTATCCACAAAAAGTTAAAAGCTCGCACATGCCAGTAATAAAAGCAAGAATATTTAGTAATATACTATAAATTGGTACCCCGCGCGTTGCTGCGGGATTAGAAATTGTAAACAAAATTATCATAGACGATTAATATTATTTATATTAAAAATGTTAGAAGATTTTAACAAACAAAGGATTTAATCTATACAGTCCACACACAAACAATCGTAGAACTTGTGTCTCTACATAAAAAAAATAAAAAAAATAAAAATCAAAGTCATTCACTGAAGCACCTAAAGTTTCCCTCCAGTACTCTTGTTTGTGAAGAAAGCAACCTAGGCAAAGGAAAAATATGAAATATTAAAATACATGCAATTAATTTATACATCAACATGTTTATACTACCAAAAAAAAAAGGATAAAGTATGGTTACCCAGTTTTTTTTTGGTGGAAAAGAATCTGGTTTTATACCAATTAGAGAGGACATTTTTTCAATGACTTTATAGTCTCTTATTTAGATCAGTGCATTTTTATATTGTAAATTGTAAATATTGAGATTTGATGTTATAGCTGTGAACACGGAAAATTCCTGAAACGAAAGAGACAAGAACAAACGTGCACAAACAAATATTTGTATTTGATGATTTTGGGTTACAATCTCTCTCTATTTTGATCCTCTGATTCGATCTCCGTAAGGTGTTGATTGGTGGATGTTTTGTTGATCCAAGGGCCGTTGATGCTTGATCTTGGATGAATTGTTGGAAGTTTCTTCAAAGGGCCGTGGGCTTGATCTTTGAAGGTGGATTTGAGCGGATCTTCAAGAAGCCGTTGGGACTTGATCTTGAAGAACAGTGATGAACGGATCTTCAAGGGCTTTTGGGCTTGATCTTGAAGAACAGTGATGAACGGATCTTCAAGGGCTTTTGGGCTTAATCTTGAAGAACGGTTGGATGTGTGTGGATTTGTCGACGTTGTTGATCCAAAGGGCCGTTGGGGCTTGATCTTGGATGAACGGATGATGAACGATGGTGCTTTCTTCAAGGGCCGTCGGGGGCTTGATCTTGAATTGGTGGATGATTGTTGATCCAAAGGGCCGTTGGGGCTTGATCTTGGATGAACGATGAACGAAGAACGAAGAGAGCTTTCTTGATTCTTCGGGAACCTGGATGCTTGAGAGCTTCGGAGTTTCAGAGCTTCAGAGCTTCAAGGTGTAATATGAATTCCTCCTTCAAATGAATGAAATGGGCTTGTATTTATAGAATTTTCCAAGGCCTAATTTTGAATATAATATTCCAGATGAAATAAGTCGTTTCTGCCAGGTGTTGACACGTGTCCTATTTGATGACTTTTCCAACTTATTTCAATTTTCGTTGAGTCACACGCTACGTGTAAAATTTATGTAATACATGAGCGTTGACACTTTGATTTGTCGGTCAACATTTATTTACCGAAATTTCGATGTCTACAATAGCTAAACAATCAATCTACAAACCAAGTTAACACCCATAGAATTATCCCCTGCATTATAAAGAGGACCTAATTCACTTCTTAATTCTACCTAACATGTATAACACTTAACATGTATAACATTTCATTTGTAACTTAAAACAACAGAACAATAATGAAAATGGTAGAAATAAGACATTAATTTTGAAACCAATGAATAAAAAATAATCACCATTAAGAAATTCAATAACCAAGCACACCTCTTGTGCTTTCCCAAATATCAATATTTCACACTGCAATTGGTAGTGAGAACACATAAAGGGAAAAAAAAGTTGAAGTAAAACCCTTAATATCATACTGTCATGGATAAAAATAGTAGGGCAGAGCATTGATAAAAAAGAAAACAGTGATCTTTTCTCTTTTGGATTTTCCACACCATCCAGTTCATCAAAGAAAATAAAAAGGGTGAGGTAAATCTTGGAAGCTCGCCTTAAACCAAATAGAAAAGAGGATGCCTATTGAAAGTAAAAATCCAAGTAATAATCAAACCAACATAGTAAGTCATGAATCAACCATCTGCGCTTTCCATTCGAAAATGGGAAAGGACTGATTCCACCGCAGAGAGGGTCGAGAAAAATTTGGCTTCAAATTAAAGTCAAAACAAATCGACCAATATGTATAATTGTAGAACTGTCTAGCATAAATTTAAACATTCATAACTCTATATGTCAATTTACAATACCCAATATATGGATTCATCTAGAATCCCGCCACCAATCTATAACTAAAAGAAAAAAGACCAGAATTGTAAGACAAGAGGTGCCTGCTTTGCTTTCTCCCCCTCTTTTCGGCGCCTCTCCTCTACCGTCTGCTTGTTCTTCAACTCATTTTCTTGCACTGTAAGCACCCCCACACAAAATTCTACGCAATCAAAACCAAAAAAAAAAAAAGAATTAATAGCCCTCGTAACTAAAATAAGAAACCCATATGGATTAAAAACAAAAACCCAGAAGTGGGAAATAGCCCAACAAAACATGACATATATATTTTTTTTAAATTGATATTAATAGGGAAAACACAAAACTTGATAAATCTAATGAACAATTTCCTTCAACCCAATAAATATTTTTCCTTAAATAATCCATAAACTCCACTTTCCTGTCATTAATAGTACACCTATGCCTCAGTCCAATACTAATTTTTTTTATTTGTTGAAAATGGAAAAAACCCAAAAGGCAAATAAAAAATTAAAGTGTTATACTGAGAGAGATTATTTTAAGATGATATTATTTTACATATAATATGTTTATATTGAAAGAGATGATTTTAAAGTGTTATTTACAAAAGAGATGATACTATTTACAACCAGCTCAAATCACACTGACAGTTTGCTCTTTGAGCAAGTTTTTGACAAACTTGAATAGTAAAATGGACAAATCAATAGGTTGCAGTAGATGAATGAAATTTCAAATTGATTTACAATGAATGGATTAATGAAAAATTGACAGTAACACTAAAAATGGTAGTCATATAGATTAGGAAGTCATCCATCTATAAGCCAGTCCTCATAAGTTCATTCACTTGCACTATTCTTCTACTGTCTGATAAAGAAAACGAAGTTCTTGTAAGTACTCCCTAACCATATGAGCAATAAAATCTTTTAAAAGGAATCCCAATTTTCTCCACATTAAAGAAAACCATAAAAGCATTACTAATGACTATATCTACAAACCAAATCTCTTTTTTATGTACCAGCTAAAGTACACATATGAATATCAAAACAAAAACCTCAAATTATCATAGCATTCCCTTTCTATCTTAATTTTTGAAAAAGGAAACACAATGGAAGAAAAAAAATTCTACAATTTTATCTTGTAAATCATTACTACATAGAGTCAAAAGCACTTCAATTATGGAAGGAGGGAAAAGAGGTGCAAATAACTGGTGCTCAATAGAAATCACTACCTAGTCATCAACTCTTTGTAAGCAAAGATTAGAAAAGTTTAGGATCTAGCATGATAATTTAAGTTACTTGAGATTTTTCAATGTTCGCAATCATTGTGCTACTATATAAACTAATGTATTCTTCGAAAGAATATAATTGGTGTGTACTTATACGTAACACAACATAATTAGCCTTAAAATCAATATGCAGAACTTAATTAACTTGCATAACACTCATTTTATTGTTTACTCACCAACTTAAATATTGGCTCTTAGATAAGAGATGTAATGGTGACTTCTTAAGCCTTATACGATGCACGGTACCATAAATCGTAGAACCTCCAAAACTCTCTAAATGCCCAAAATTCACAGTTACATAATCAACAAAATCCCCTGGAAAATGTTTTATACAATAGTTTTCAATACTATTAACAAAATGCACATGTTTATTTAGGGAGTTAAACAAAATGTAAATCTTGGTATTCTTCCCTAAACTGTAAAAGTCCGCCAGACCTAAACTCTTTTTAATCTACCCCGAGTTAGTAATGATCTACTGTAGGTTCTTTTGGTCTAGATAGCCATTGAATGCAATCTGAGCGTGAAGGTTACCTGATGCATGGTGGTTTAATTGTCATCTGCTGCTTTTTGAGATGGAAATGGACTAATTCTTGTCTTTAGCTTAATGATATCAAATTCAGCTTGGTTCCAAACGTACTACAAAAGTCAATTGAAAGTTAATGACATCTTTGCAAGTAAACAATAGTTTAATTAGTCATAAAATTTGATCAGCTCTAGATCATAGAGATGAGAGCACCATTTAAACTTAGGTTCCTGAATATTTCAGCAAGTCAAATGACAATATTCTAAAAACGAAAACTACATTCTGGTCCTCAAGAAATATTCTAAGCTAGGAAATGCCTGAAGTTGAAATAAAGAAGCTTTGTCAGAAATAACAATTCCGATTTGTTTTGGTCTTATGATCACTCACTCCCAAATTATCATATTCTCAATACCATTTTTTCAAAACCTTGCATCTCCCAAATTATCAGATTCTCAACACCATTTTCTCAAAAACTTGCATACAACAACTAACCTTCTATTGTTTTCAATGTTTATAGATTACCGAGCAATGTAAATTTTGGATCCTTTCTTTAAAGCTAGAGCAGATAGACAAACTAATTGTAAAATAACACATAAAACTGAGAGAAAAAAAAAAGATATCTGGGATAGATGGAAACTTGTTTGCAATTTCCCATGTATATCCATAGCATGATTTTGAATTAATCTGCACAAAAAATAAGTTTTGCAGGACACACAATATCAGTGAAAAAAGGGTCTGGAGAGATTATGATAGACTGTGGGATGTTGTGATAGACTTCTAGTTAATACTATATGTTACATCAGATTCTTTATAAACACCTCTAGGTAACAAAAGTAAGCATTCTTCACTAATCAACTCTCTTAAATAGGCTCAATTTTCAGTTTAAATTTGGTCAACCGTTTGGAGTGCTTAACGTTTTCAGATTCTTCATTTGTTAAATTGACTAAAAAGAGCAAAAATTAAAATGAAATTAAAAAGGTGAACCTGGTGGTCACCACCGCCGCCGCCGATGAGGAGATCGAGGGGATTGATTATAGCTTATCGGTTGAAAAGCTGGCTTTCTTCTTTCTTCTTCCCATTCAGGTTCTATTATGTGTCTTCTTGTTCCTTCAAAACACTACCAGTAGTTCCAACCACGTGCCATTGGATCATAATCCAAATAATAACATAAAAGTCTTAGGAAGCTGGAAAAAAATAATAATAATTCTATCACATCAAGTTCAAGCCTCCACTTACCACAACCTAATGTGTGCAGACTGGGCATTCATGTGGCTTCTCTTTCTCCAGCCAAAACCAAACAACATCATGCTCATCCTCTGCAATTAAAATACAACAAAAAAAAAGACATCAAAATGATAGGAATAAAAATTTAAAAGATTCATTTTTTCTCAAATTCTCAATCTTCTCTAATCAAATCAGCTAACCCTTTTCAAAACCCTACAAATAAAAGATCGAAGGGTTTATGTAGACCCAAATTCAACCATTAGAGAAAAGGCAGTGGCGATGGACTTCTGGAGAGATAAAGTGGTTTGAAGGAGGAGAGAGAAATGGAATTTTGGAGAGAGATGGAATTTTAAAGAGAGAAAAAGTAGAAAGGCGAGTGAGAGGAAGAGAGAAGGAAGACATTTAGTGGATTTGTGTTTGTAGTTCGTGGGTTCTGATTGGAGAGATCAGCACTGGAAGGAAATGGAAAGGTTTACTAAACCTTCGAGAGAGAGCTCGAGAAATCTGAGAGAGAACACGCGTTCACGATCAGCAACACGCGTCCAATATGTGTAAACCTAGTAAAAATGAAATTAAACAAATCAAGTAGGAGTAAAATAGAGAATATATTGTGCTTATAAACAGTGTTTCAGTTGATTTTCTCTTTTAGTATATATATAATTTGAATGGAGTAATTTTAATCCTTATCTCATCTTGTGTCAAAATCAACTGTGTCCATGATTCTTCGTTATTGATGCACCATGACTGGCAAATGGCATTGGACTGTGTGGGAGAATTATTATGAGGAGAAAATTTTCATAATCATTTTTAATACGGGTAGTATATTATGTACTTTTATATAAGTGGTAAAAAAACTTATTTTTATGTTATTAACTTTGTAACATACATATTTCATCATTTATATAATAACACGTGATATACTATCCCGTATACTAGTCACAATACAAAATCTCTCTATTTTGAGAACAGTATATATACACGAATTCAGCGTTTTGTAACGTTACAATTCAATATATTTCGTTGTCTTTAGAACGGAGCACTATATCAGCGATCATGTTCGGTCTCAATTAGTACCAGTGTGACGTATACTGCCATCCTCCATATCCCTTTCTGTTTTTCCACTCTCTTGTTTTTGTCAATTAAAGAGCAATTTTCTGTCTGCAAATTATGGTGGAAACATAATAAGTTTTATTTAATCCTATCCACAGATCATCGAAATTTAAGGAGTTACAATTAGAGCAATTCCACCCCTAAGGACTTTGCGCCAGCACCCAGCGCATTTATCCACTCAAGTGAACAGTAATAGACTGGAGTGAACAGTAATAGGCCAAGGCATGTCCACCCCTAAAAAAATGCGCTGGCACCCAGCGCATTTATTTGGTGTGTTTTTTTTTTTAAGTTTATTTTGGATAAGATTTTTAACCAATTTAAGATAAAATTTCAAATAAACTTTAAAAAAAAATACACACTAAAATAAAATTACATACTCATCAAATAAACTATAAAAAAACACACTAAAATGAAATTACATAAACTCATCAAATACACTTTATTCTTCAACCACAAGCTTTTTGGTATTTTTTTTTCACACAAAAAGTATATGAAAGCTTTGGTAGAAAGTGTAGAAAATATTGAAATGTGGTGTAAGGTGGAAGATGAGAGTTAGGTATTTATAGAATAAATAAATAAATTTTTTAAAATTTTCTGTATTTTTTAATATTTTTTCTGTATTTTTTAATAAATTTTAATTTAGATAATTAACGTAGACCGTTGATCTGTGATCGGACGGTCTATTTAAAAGTAAAATTTAAATTTCTTTTACCGTTGGAAATCCAACGGTCTAGAAAAACTAGCCGTTGGAAATCCAACGGCTATGAGCATGCCACGTCACTGATGGGATCCGGAACACAAGTGGGCTGACAGCCCCTCTGCAGCCTGTCGGCTACTCGCGCCCAGGCGCGCTTGTCGTGCACGCGCCAGCCAAATAGGCCAGCTTCTTGGTCTGTCAAAATTGGGCTGGGCTGTTGCCTGGCATGGGCTGGGTGCCAGGCAACTTTGTGGGCTGGAGCAAATTCACTGAGGGCCAGGCTGTTTTTTGTGCTGGGGGCTGGGCAAAGCAAGTCCCGGTGGAATTGCTCTTACAGAGACAAAACCATATCTGAATTTAAGGAGTCAAAACCATATCCATTTTTCTCTCTCAGTTACCGGCCATATTTTTTCTTTTTCTTTTTTTTTTTATCAAATTACTAGTTGGATTATGGATATGATTAAAGACCAAGTATACTTCAGTTGCCTAATTTTACTCATGTTAGAGTGCTGCTCAGTCCACTCGTGAGGATAAAGCTGCTGCCCATCAACTAATAGGAGCGACTTAAAAGCAATCGACGGCTGAAATTGAACCAACCAGCGACGGTTCTTGCGGCAAGGACGCCGATCATTTTTTCCGCGTTTCAATGCACAAATATAGAATACGCTACGTATTAGCGCCTAAAATGAGTAAAAACTCCACAAAAACATACGTTTCCAACCAATTAATCAAAAAAGGACAAATGAGGAAACTGACTCTAACAATTGGTTGGAAATAGAATGGTGATGGCAGCATGGAATTGGTGCTGGTCTTTATCCTTACCTAGGTGAGCTAAGGACTCGGAGAGATAGGATTTAACCATGGTTAGATTGTAACCAGAGTTCTCCCCCAACCCCCCTCACCCCTCTTTTGCCTCACCAATTACTCAATACTCTCAACTTTGATGCTCTCTCTCACTCCCTCATTATTTTTCATTTTCCATTAGTCTCCTCTTCATTTTTTTCCCCTCCACCTCTCAATTTCTGGTAACTTCCCTCTATAATTTTGTTATTGTCGTGTTTGTATTTTTCTCTAATCATGAGATTAACGCAGAAAAAGTTTTTGTATCATGGCGTGGCGTTATTAGTTTTATGTGTCTATTGCTGATCACATAAATATAGTTGAAATAAACGGACGAACAAACGAAATATAACTATGAACATTTTATTAAACGAGATTTGCCGAAATGACTATCACCAACGGACTACATCTTTACTGACATATTGTTCAACGAGCTACAAAACATCATATATATAGAGAACTAACCTAACCCTAATAAGCAAGAAAACGAAACCCTAACACTAACGGGTTATGCCCAGAAAACCAAACATTCAAATAAATCAAAATACTAATATTTTTCAACACCCCCCGTCAAACTTATGGCGGTATACGATATGGGTTTGCAAACAAGCAGATGCGGACTGGCTCTGTTAGGCGACAGATAGGCAGGTTCCGCAACGCGAACAGATAGACAGACAGGCTCCGCAATGCGGACAGGTAGACAGACAGGCTCCGCAATGCGGACAGGTAGACAGGCAGATAGGCAGGCTCTGCAATACGGGCAGACAGAGCGAGCAATCAAGCAAGGAAACGAACAATCTAGGCTTCAATCAACAAGGCCCAACTAAAAGCCTTCAAACAAATCATAATAGCCCAACGGATTGTGGGCTCCATACTTTTTTCTTTTTTCCTTTTTCCTGTTTTCTTTTTCTATTTTTTCCTTTCTTTTCCTTCTTCTTTCTTCGGTTCCAGTAGCAAAATAGGCGAAAAACATGTGCAAACCAACATTCTGAACCAAGACTCCGAGGTGTGGTTGCAGCTTTCAGGCGAGGAAGCAAGTGACAGTTGCCAGATTTCAGGCAATGGGTGGAGGCGTGACTGGGTGGCTTGGCAGCGGGGTGGATTCGAACGGCAGATGTGCTGGGTGACGATGCAGCGGAAGATGTGCAGCAGGTCAGGGAACAAAGTATCTGGAGTTGGGGTGGCAGCGGCAATCGAAAACTGGTGTGGGTATGGTTGTGGATCTAGGATCTAGTAGCGATTCAGAACAAACCGGAGAGGAACCGACAAGGAACCGAGACATACAAACAGAGACCAACAAACTGACATGAACAGAGCAGAAGCAGATTAAACCCGACGGTTCAATCCTACTCTGATAGCAAGTTGAAATAAACGGACGAACAAACGAAATATAATTATGAACATTTTATTAAACGAGATTCGCCGAAACGACTATCACAAACTGACTACATCTTTACTGACATATTGTTCAACGAGCAACAAAACATCATATATAGAGAATTAATCTAACCCTAATAAGTAAGAAAACGAAACCCTAATACTAACGGACTAAGCCCAGAAAACCAAATATTCAAACAAACCAAAATACTAATATTTTCCGACGAACATATGATATGAAAAGAGAAGTAGACACGTAAAAGAGAATAAAAAACCGTTCTAATTGTCATTTGTTACTTTTCTTATCGCGTGATAAAAGAGATGACTATTTTGTGGCAGAGAAGAAGATGGCGTCAAACGGGAACGGAGAGTTCAGCTTTGCGAGCGGAAACGGAAAGGTGTCAACGGCGGCAAACGGTAACGGAACGGTGAGGAACGGGCTGGCGAAGATCCAGACGCAGAAGAAGGACAATGGGGTGTGTCACGACGACAGCACGCCACCTGTGAAGGCGCAGACGATCGACGAGCTCCACTCGCTGCAGAAGAAGAAGTCGGCACCCACCACCCTAATGAAGGGCACTCAGGGTGGTGCCTTTGCCGTCACCCTCTCTGAGGAGGAGCGACACAAGCAGCAGCTTCAGAGATAAACGCGTCGTTCGTTATGTCAACCGGCGGCGCGCTAGCAACTCTTTCTGGAGCCAAACTGGTCGCTCTCCAAGAGATAAACGCGTCTTAAGGATGACACCACCCAGGACGACCTTTGGTGGGGAAGGTAATAACTGACTATAATTACTACTGCCCGCATTTTTCACTTTTACCTTTTGTTACTGTGTGTAATTATATTTAAACGTGGTGGTTATCTTCATCTGTAGGGGCTCACCTAACATTGAAATGGACGAGCAAACGTTCATGGTCCACACAGAAAGAGCTGTGGATTACTTGAATTCTTTGGACAAGGTCTTTACTTTTTCTTTTCTTTTTTTCCTGCTAAGAAACGACGAATTTATAGTTAATAAGTTTGAAATTTTGACTCGCGTTTATTCGATACCACGTCATTATATTAGAAACTAGATTTACTTGTATTTTATAAAACAGGTAAAAAGATTGTATGCCTGGTTTAGAATATTTACACGTTGAGGAAAAAGAAAAATGCATGCATGTTCGTATCCTTGCAATATATTGCTTTTAGGAGATAGTGATGCGTGGGTGATGGTATCTCCATTGTCCTTTTCCACACCTTGGCCAAGATTTCATTTGGAGTAGCAATGTTTGAGCGGTGCTCTGTATTTATCATATGCGTATTGCTGTGTTGTACTCGACCTCATCACTACTTCACTGGGAAAGAAGGAATTATTTATAAAGAACATGCATTAATACCAGTCAACTGTTCACTTTGTTGAGAAATTATTGTTTAGCACTGAAACACCGCATAGATATATTAGAACACATTATGATGCATTGATAATTTAATACCAGTCAGGCTGTTCCTTACAGTCCATATTGTTATGATGTTTACAAATATGTAAAATAGCTTAATGAACTACGAAAGTAGCTGAAAAAATGTCTTGTTTATAAGATGGGATAAATGTTTGGGGGAAGAAATTAGTTGTTGAGTACGGATATATAATTTGTGTATAGCTATATTCTTTTTCGTACCTTGTTGATTAAGAAACGAGTGGTGGGGAGTAAGGGTGATTGACATTTTGATATTTACAGGTCTTTGTAAATGATCAATTTTTGAACTGGGGTCTGGAAAACAGATCAAAGTTCGGGTCGTGTCTGCCAGGGCTTATCACTCATTGCTCATGCACAACATGTAAGTAAAGCTTAGGAGTCTTTATGAACAATTTGCTTTCTCTGCAGTGTATGTTTATGTATACATTCCTTCCTCCTTTGGGTAAGACTGCCAGATAAGTCCTCTTAACGTTGCGTATGAGTTTTGACATTTAATCTTTTCTGAGTATTACCTATGTATCATCCCTAAGCACGTAGGTTTCCGTCTAGGTAGGTGAAAACATGTGTGATATTAGCTTAGTGTACGTACAATTCTATAACTCGGTGGGTCGCAGGTGTATCCGACCCACTCTTGAAGAGCTGGAGAATTCTGGTACTCCGGACTTCACTATATACAATGCTGGCCAGTTCTCGTGTAATCGTTGCACCCACTACATGACATCCTCTACTAGCATAGACCTTAATCTTGCTAGGAGGGAAATGGTCATCCTCGGCACCATGTACACTGGGGAAATGAAGAAAGGCCTTTTCAGTGTCATGCATTATCTCATGCCTAAGCGACAAATCCTATCCCTACATTCTGGCTGCAATATGGGGAAAGATGGAGATGTTGCCCTTTTCTTTGGATTGTCAGGTATAGTATCGTCAATAGATCGCGGTTGTCGTCTTGCTCTCGCAGCTATATGATATGTGCCCTCTTACTCTCTTACTCTCTCTCGCTCTCTGTTAGCTATGACAGTTTAATTGTTTCTTATGGATGCTATTTGCCTTTTCTTTTCATTTTACTATTTAGGTACTGGAAAGACGACTCTGTCTACAGAGCACAATAGGTACTTGATTGGAGATGATGAACACTGCTGAACTGAGAACGGTGTGTCAAATATCGAAGGTGGTTGATACGCCAAATGCATTGACCTGTCAAGGGAGAAAGAGCCTGATATTTGGAACGCCATCAAGTTTGGCGCTGGTAATATATCACCTTGATTTCTTGGATATGTGGATGTGATAGAATCAAGATGATGAAGTAATAGTGTTTAATTTGTTTGGTCTTTTGAATTCGACTTGAATTTATCGGATTTTTCTTCATTGGCAGTGTTGGAAAACATCGTGTTTGATGAGCACACACGAGAGGTGGACTATTCTGACAAATCTGTTACAGGTAAATATCAATTGTTTTCATCCCAAAGTTCACACAATTTGAGTTTGAATCTCTGATTATGCTTATACATAATTCTGAGGGACCGTATAATATATTGAGCTGTTTTTCTTCTGGTTGCAGAGAACACTCGTGCAGCTTACCCCATCGAATACATTCCCAACGCAAAGATACCATGCGTTGGTCCACATCCAAAGAATGTCATAATTTTGGCATGCGATGCATTTGGTGTGCTCCCTCCAGTGAGCAAGTTAAACCTTGCTCAGACCATGTACCACTTCATCAGTGGCTACACTGCTCTGGTAAATTCAACTTCTCTATTTGTACTCGTGAACACGTAACATTTCAGTTACTATATTAACTAATTGTTGATAAATTTATAGGTTACCGGAACTGAAGATGGTATCAAGGAGCCAACAGCAACATTATCAGCGTGCTTCGGTGCTAATGTTGCATCCTACTAAGTATGCAGCAATGCTGGCTGGTCCGGTGGAAGGTATATGTGAATTCGATTATCATCATAATTTTAGAGAATCATTTCCGTGAGAAGATCTGAACCAAACAAACATCTTTCTTTCCTACAGATATGGATCAGGAAAGTGCATTAAGTTGCCCTACACCAGGAAAATCATTGACGCCATCCACTCTGGCAGCCTCTTAAACGCGAAGTACAAGAAGATTGAAGTGTTTGGACTTGAAATCCCTGTTCGGTCTTGACCTTCATCATTAATGTGATATCCGAATCTTATATGTGGTTGCAGTGGTCGGACATGAATGCATACAATGAAACTCTGATGAAGCTGGCTGGCCTCTTCAAGAGGAACTTTGAGACTTTCACAAACTACAAGATTGGGAAGGACAACAAGCTGACCGATGAGATACTTGCGGCCGGACCAAATTTCTAAAACCTTGGCAAAAAAGAAGAATAACTAGAAACTCTAGGGAAGCTTGGGGGTCAAGGCAATCGATGGAAATAAGAATTGGACAGATTCAGAAGTAGGCGTATTGTTATTCTATTCATTAGATATGCTTAATGGTTCTTTTGTACTTTTTATGTCCTATTAATATATAGGGTGAAGTGCCGATTTAGTCCCTGAATTATCACCTTAGTGAAAATTAGGTCCCTGAATTATTTTTTCGGTAAAATAAGTCCCTAAATTCATTAGAAATTGCTAATTTCATCCATACTATTATATTGAAAGCTATTTTATCCAATTTTTTTGTCAAATTAAGTCACTTGACACACTTTAGAGTGTAATATCATCATTTTCTCGTCTGTAAGTGCCTAACATTTCATATAGGTTGCAAATTTAATGTCTAATTTACCCTCAAAAGTTAACTTACATTATTTCTTTATGAAAAACTACCAACTTCTCCTCCAAAGTTAACTCCATACACTATTTCTTTATGAAAAACTACCAATCTACCTTCCAATGTGTATCATATGCAAGTAATGTGACTTAAATTGATGAAAAATTGAATATAGTAGCTTCGAATATAACATTAGGGATGTAATTGGCAGATTTTTATAATTCAGGGACTAATTTTTCTGAAAAAATAGTTTAGGGACCTAATTTTCACTAAGGTGATAATTCAGGGACTAAATTGGCAGTTTACCCTAATATATATAATCAAAGGAGGTTGTTTCTCTCCATTTCCTTCCCCTCTCATTTTCTTCAAAATTCATCTGTTTCGAAGTTAATTTGAAATTCTGGACACAAATTTAAAGGGAAACAAAGAAAAGAAGGCAGTTTCCAGTCACCAATTTACAAAATTGAGTAGTTTTGGACAGTATTTAGGAGTTATAATAGAATGCCTACTATATTCTAGCTAAAGGGCACCTAACTCTCAACTTATATTTTTCTTAAACTGGTGCGAGCGTCGTTTTAGATACAAATCTTATATTGAAACTCAAATATTTTAATTTCACTCAAAAAGTATTTCAAAATTCCGAGGCATTGGAGACAGAAAATGTAATATTTGGACTCAAATACATTTCACTTTTGCAGGAGCCAAGCAATCAAATCCTTCAGCAATTAACCCAAACTTGGGAAAGTGGAGCTAAAATGTGCATGCAACATGCATATCTCACTACAACAATCAAATAACTAGTGGACTCTGGAGAAAATCAAAGGAGGTGATGTGAGACTTGGAGCTCAAGGTTTCAATGGCTATAAAAAGCCATTGTTTGTGTCTTACTTCTCAAGGGGTATAAAAGCGAAGACGGTGTCGTACTTCTCAACAGGTACAAGATCATTGTTTGTGTCTTGAATTTTCGATTTGCAGGTCTTTCTAAATTAACAATTCTTGAACTAGGATGATGCGATCCACAAAACAAAATCAAAGTGCGGATCGTGTCTGCCGCGGCAGGATGGTGGATTATTCAAACAAATCTCCTACAGGTAATGAGAGAGCGTGAAAATCATTTTTCATATCCGATCGTGCAGCCTACCCCATCGAATACATTATTATCATCTGTATTATTGAGTAATCACAAGGTTGCTGGAACCGAAGAGGGTATTAAGGAGCCACAGGCGACATTCTCAGCTTGCTTTGGGGCATCATTTTTATGTTGCATCCTACCAAGTATGCAGCAATGTTGACTGAGAAGACGCAGAAGCATGGGGCAAGTACTGGACTGGTTTGGTGGTAGGTATGAATAGACTCTCAAATATCTTCATAACAAGGCCTGAATTTCGGACAGTTGGTCGAACTAAGGGTTTCAATTCGGATCCAAAAAAATTTAATGATAATTGCCTTCCAATTCTAAGCCGAAACTAGTTGAATTCAACATCGACTCCGATTTCAGAAGAGTGCTGATGTTCGTACTCACTAATCTTATATTTTCCCACCCATCCAATAGTGCAAATGCTAATAACAAATGAATATAAGGTGGGTGCGCAAATTTGCCCAGTTGGTGGGTACAGTAGCACCCTTACATGAATTCTCCCAATACTACTATAGTCCAACTCCGAACCCAATTTCAAATGTCTAATTTGATTTGGGTGTTCCAAACTCAATGACTTTCAAATTGGAATTGGTAAGAAAAGTTCCAATCCGACTTGCCTCTCTCACACTCTCCCTCTCATTTTTTTTTTCGGGTTTCTCAGTGGTCGGACAAGAATGCATACAATGAGACACCGATGAAGTTGGCTGGTCTATTCAAGAACAACTTTGAGACCTTCACTAACTATCAGATTGGTGAGGAAACCAAGCTAACACAAGTGGATACTAGCAGCAGCCAGTCACAATTTCTAACCGCCGGCAAAACTGTAAAATATCACCTAATTTTGTCACAAGGGTTTTGGGATGGTCAATGGATTGTAAATTACACTAACCTTGTAAACTAATATTCAATATAATGAAAGTTTTATTTCCTTGTTAAAGAAAAAGCTAATTTTTTTTTCAAGTTCTATTTATAATTTTGTGAAATAAACTAAATTATGACAATTAATTTAACAATCTGACAGTAAGCAAACCTTGGCATTCAGATTCCCGCAACATTCAGGGAATAAGTTTCCAAGCATAATCCATAAATTCGTTATTTATGAACGGACGCAAAGACCACATCAGGCAGTAGCTCTCTAATTCTCCTGAAGATGATTTGAGATTAAGAGCAGAGACGATCCTCTCCTGCATCAAGTTGTTACATTGGATGTTTCAAAAGTTCATACCAAAGGGCACAGATAATGGGAATTCAGGGTGGGAGCTTAATTACCTGCATCATATAGTCTTGCTTGACCATACTGTAAATGACCCCCATCATGACAACATAATTGGTAACTTCATTTCTTTTGGGATGGGATGATGTAAATTCCTCCTATAGAAGTTAGGCATCAGTAAGAGGTGTTTCGAATTTATCATCAACCATAAGAAATCAGAATTGGTGTAAGAATTTTACTGAGCAGTATGCAAATCTGAACTATGAACGGAATGTACAAACAACATCAAAACTGAGAAACATATCAAAACTGAATGTACAAACAACATCAAGATATTCCTTGGGATAAGAGAAAAGAAGGATAAAGACTACCTTGTCACCATTGCATGCTTCTTCATTCAACTTGTCCGCAAAACTGTCATCCTGAAAGTTGGGTAAATTTCCCATTGCAGTTTGCAATGCACCATTTACATCCTCCAGGAGGCATTCAAGTTCATTAAGAACGTTTTTGCCTACAACAGCACTTGCATTCTTAAACAAAAATTTCAAGAGTACATCAAGTGCGAGATTGCATCAAGTAGGGAAATGTACCATTAACAAACTATAAACTGCAACATATATCTAGCATTCAAACTACAAACTGCAGCACACGAGATATGAAAGAACTACTACTACAAACAGATAAAACAGCTCATTGATGTAAAGGCATCACCACTTCGCTTTTCCTTTAACAAGATTCTTTTGTGATATATAATAAAAGAAACAAATATTGACAATTTCGGAAAGACATGTTACCTTTACTTAGATGGTCACAAAGTCCAAGTTGGCATGTATGCACTTCTCTACAAGAATTTCACCATGTATAAGAAATACATCACGTTCATACATAGTCCAAACCAATAACGTATCAGAAAGTGGCAAAACTCAAAGTAAGGGAACAGCACCATACAAAAACAAAGGATAGTAATTCAAGGGCAGATATCAGAAAAACATGCTCGTTAGTTAGATACCCAGTAAATCATCGCTACAAATTATCAGCCAATTACAAACAAACTGTCACTACTGCGGGATAAAAGAGCATAAGTACGATCAGTGGCCTTTAACCCATATCCAAATTTTTTTAATGGAGAACTGAATTCAAATAAAGAGAAAGAAGAGACTATCAAGCTAGAAGAGATTATCAAGCTATCAACTCATTCCAATTATTTCCAGTAAATTGTGAAAGATAAACAGTTTTATCAAATAATTAAGCATATTTCTATGACATTATAAATCTTTGCAGATATAAAACTGATAAGAGCTTGGGAGGGTTTTAACACTCAATTATCTAACCAACAATCCAAAGAAAGCATAAGAAAATATACAGAATTGCACTCACACTTGCTTATATTTCGCCTGCCATCGTCAGCGTTGAGACATCCAGCTTCAACATATGACTTAACCCTCTTTGTTTCATTACCTCGGATTATGTTTTTAACCAAATCCGATGTCTCTTCTATCCAAGGTCGTCGAAGAAACTCTACAAAAACAAAAATATTACTTACTAAGAAACTAAATCAAATTTGAAACAAAACCCAGAATGCTACTTACCCAGCCCCTGCTGAAAGTCGACGAGTAATGTGCTTCCAGTGGCCACCAACTCGTCAAAATTGTCGAGTCTGCAGAATTGATGAATTTTAAAGATTGCCCAGATGAAAAAAACAAATTTCTTCTAGTGGTAAAAGATCAAAGCAGAGTTACCTGGCCATGAAATCTTTGAACAAGTTGATAACTTTGTCTTTGAATTCAAAATTCGATACAGATTTCGATCCAGCAGAGGTTGATCCAGAGCTCTTCTTGTTCTGCAGAGGTAAGTGCCATCATCAAATTCATGCACTATAACTTATAGACATGTTTTTCTGTTAAACAAAAAAGAAGAGTTGCAACAAAATATTTTTCTGCAACAAGATTTTAGGCATGTAAAAAATCTTATTAAGCATATCATTGTAAACATTAGCATGTTCATAAAATGAAGAGAGTTCCAAGAAAATATTTTTTTTGTTACATAAAAACGAATAGCTAATGCCGGGGTTAAAAACTAAACAAAATAAGCAGCAAGACACAAATCAGGCATGCCAAGTAAGTCATAAAGTTTCAAGATATAAACCTATACGGGTAAATCTAGAAATTCCAAGACCCTCACCAAGAATCGAGTGATCGGTAACCCTTTCATCAAATTTAAGATTAGGACCAATAAAAGAGATGGAAAGCAAAAGCAACTCCAAAATGGTTCTAGCAACAATAAGATTGTAAATTACACCACATGGAAAGAAGAATCTCAAATAATATGCATGTCAAATCAATTTCTTTGAACAAACTAAAGTTCCCAAAAATTTCCACAAATAACAAGACAAGACATAACACGGAAATTACAGGGCCAAAACTATCCCATAATCATTTTGGGATCAGGACGGCATAAGTGGACTCATTATATGTGTAAAATGTAGACCAATTGTATATGACAGGTACAGAAAAAAGTCAATGTGAGCAAGTAATGTTATGAATTTATGAGCTATGTCAAAAAGAGGAAGTAATAATACATACATGATGGACAGAGTTGGTAGCATTGGATGTTAGGTGCTTGGTTTCTAACAACAATTTGCTTTCTTGAACTCTCTCAGCAATAACTGGTTGAGATGGGCCAACGAAAGATCCAAAACTGCAGAATAAGTAGGGAAACAATTTAAAATCAATTTCAAAACTTCTATTTTACCAATTACCACTATATTGTCCACAGAAAAATTATGAAACAAATCATCTAGCTGATAACCTCATCACAAAAAAAGAAAACAAGGAACTAAAGTTGCAAGGATGACAACTCTTCATAATGTATTCTCATTTCTCTATATTACTTTCAGACGGTGATATCCCTGGAAAAAAAACATTAGCCTGTCCTAGAAATTGCAACTATAAAACCTATATCGTTACAGGCTCTGGTAGAATGCAAGCAAATCAATACATTACAGAACTATTTTAGTTGCATCACTTACTGCTTCCCTACAACTTCAGATAACAAGACCAGATATTGTTCATAAAATAATCATTGGTTACTTACAATAAGGAAGCATTGAACCTAGTAGTAGAAACAAACAGAACCGCCTGCCTTGTCTTACTAAGAAAGCATGGATTTTCCACGAAGGAAAAACAGCGGTTATATAGTAGTTACTCACTTGTCATAGGGGAGCTTCTTTTTATTACTGGAGTTGGCCAAAGAAGAACCACTTTTCTTCTTTCGTAATTGTTCTTTCAAGTGTTGTCTCAACTCAAGGTATGCCAATGCTTCCTTGGTAGGCTTTTGATCTTCCTCTTCCCCTTCATACTCTTCACCATCCTCATCGTCCTCATAATCCTCATATTCGTCGCCTAACTGACCATAATCCTATCCCAAAAAATTGTCAAACTAATTTTCTCCAAAAAATAATGGAGTATCAATATAAAAAATTTACATATAATAAAAAACAGATAGACGAAGATCCAAAATTTGCTTACATCTCTATCATATCCCAGCATTTCCCTCTCGAATTGAACAATTACAAATGCAAAGTACCTGAAAAATCACAAAAGAAAACCCTAATTTTTATTATGCTGAACTGAAACCACTATTCAAAACCGGCAATTTTCGACAAATCAAACAATTATAACCAAAACCCATATAGGCTCTGTTCAATTCCATGGATTTGGCATTGCATTTGTGCCCTAATTTTGAAATTGGCCAACTCAATGCTGAATACGCAATCCAGATGCATAAATTTCATTCCGAAACTATGAAATTCCAATCCCAAATCTCCTTGAACTGAAAATCAAAACGAAACTACTCACCTGAAATTCCTTTCAACCACAACGCCGATCGAAAATCTTGAGGCCTCTGAAATCGAGGATAATCTGTGCAGAGCCGCTAAAAGTGCGATTCCGATTCCTCTGCCTTCAAGCCCTAGGTATCGAAAACCAAGTTCAATTGAAGACAAATGGATACGATGCGATCAGAATTCTCGAAGAGAGAATCTGCAAGCCCTAATTTGTACAGCTTTGGGGTTCGACCGGTTACTCTGAAACGGAGAGTCCAATTTTCGGAATAAAACAAGCTCTTAAAAAAAGGTATAATTTATTAACCCTTTTGGCAAGTTAGGAATATGTACCCCTTTCCTTGCGTTGGTATGACTATAAAAATTTTTTGGTAGGTTAGGTAGACCTGGCATTCGTGTCGTGTTTCCCGTGTTCGTGTCGTTTTCGTGTCATACCCGATATCTTAACGGGTCGTGTCGTGTAACACCCGTTAAAATAAACGGGTAAAATGACCCGACTCAAAATCGACCCGATAATATTAACGGGTAATATGACCCGACCCGATACCCGTTAAGAAAAATATATTTTAAACCAATAAATAATCAACTGAAAAACATAATACTTTTTTTGAGTGAAAAAATGTTGCACGCCCAGTGGGACTCTTGAACCCACAATTGCTTGATTAGTATTACTAAACAATAAAGCATTCAGCATTAGACAAGATATCAGTATGTTGAAATTGCAGACTTAAAGTTTTTTCAAGGCACCAACTACTACTAACTTAAATGAATTTCAAGAACCATTTATTTTCAGAAAATTGATAGAAGTGAAGATAAAAAAACAAACAAGAAAAAAAAAAGTGGGCAAGATTCATTCAGATATAGCAGTGGCAAGACATCACACTGATCTGGTGCCCAATATCTTATCAAAGCACTTATAAAATGTAAAAGGAATATATAGCAAACGAGCATATGAGTTTTCAACTATGAACAAATTTTTTCTCTTTCAGAAACATGGAATAACTGAGCTTATAAGAACAGCAATTTGCTAGTTCCTTTCCATAATAATTATTAATTACAGAGGGAAATTGTCATATAGAGACAATGACATGATTCAGAAGCACACTTGGGTTATGGAATGACACTATTACATGACTATTACACAACTTTAGATCTCAGAGCTCACAATGTAATTATGCAATGCAGATTATCTCAGGGAGCTATAAATAGGTTCCACATCAAATTCACCAATGCATATTTCAAATGATAAGAAATTCTATCTGATAAAATTGAGACTGAACATTCAGGAAATTCTACCTCAAGCAGTCTACAATAAACTGGCGCACAACAGGATGGTTGCAATTGAATGTGTTACCGCATCCCGAATAATTACAGAACTCTCCCTGTTAAAAAAAAAAGGGACAATAGATTGAGTTCACAGCGTATGAATGAAGAGACGTCAAATCAAAAAAGATGGCACGAGAAAAATGTCACAAAATTCTTCAGTTTACGACACAAATGGGACTTTAGGTCTGGGGCATGCAACGCAAACCTGACCTTGTTATGGTCTTCCAATTCAACGCAAACCTAACCTTGTTATGGTCTTCCAAAAACAATATAACAGCACTATAATGTTCTGCTGCTTCATTTCAGATTGACCACATAACAGCTATGTAATTCATGAAAAATGTACTCATAGAAAGAAGAAATCTCTGGAATGAAAAACCAAATAAGGGGATAAGTATGATACTGATAAAACTAAACGAGCTACTATCCACAGAGAGGTGCCAAATTGGTCCAACACAAGACTGTGAGACTGGTAAAACATTTGTGTTTTAAACAAATTTACATCAAGCAGTAGGGTGCCCATCATGTACTTAACAAGCAGTAAACACAGACTCAGCAAACGAAATGCAGAAACTCAAATAACCCCTGAGTAGATTTCAACAGAAAAGGTAAATCAGATATCAGTAGCTAAAATCCAGAATCCCCATATCAGTTAACAAGTCATATAATCCACAGTTAAATCATTGCATGTTGGAACTAATCAAAGATTGTCAGATTTTAAAAACAAAACATGGGTTTTTTTTTCAAGAAATGAAAATTCATAATTTCGAATGAAAAATAAGAAACAAAAACATAAGATTTATGAAGATACAACATTAAACAAATGAAAAGAACAGAGATGTAGAGATGTAGAAACAAAATCGAACCTGGAGTGGAATCTGGATAATGCAGAGATGTAGAGACGACCAGAGCAGAGATGACAAGATCAAGAATGATTCCGTCCAGGCGTCCACTGCACGAGGGAGGAGAAAAGAGATACTGAGAGAGGCTACCGGAAGAACATACGGCGGGAGAGAGGGGCTAGGAAGAACAGGCGGCAAGTCGGGAGAGAGGGTTACTGGAGTGGGGAGATAGAAAGGGATTAGGGCTGGCTTTTGTTTTGAATCTTTTGATCAGATCAGATGGTAAAATTGGAAAATACAAGGGGTTTTTTTGTCCCAAAAAGTTCTAATAATATAAGTGAAATAGAATCCAACGGTACAGATTTATTCTCATTTATCTTACGGCTGTTATTTAAGTAAGGTCTTTAATAGTTTTTTAATTAATGTAGAAGTGTAAAAAATATAGAAAAAATATATAAATGCTCGTAATGACAAACTTTACAATTTTCGTGAAGAGCTTAACTTCGAAATAAGCCACTATAATCATATAAATCATAGATCAAAATTTAACCGTTGATTTTTGTTTACATTTATGCTTCATTTTTCTCATCAAATTTTGTTTTTTCAGATTTTCTTTTTCGAAAACATGATCTATTAGAGGATGCAAGAAGATGAACGGTTTGGATTATTGATATTATGTTCAGAGTTTTATGGTTAATGAAAATATTGCTTAATGTTTATAAAGTTTCTACAAACTATATGACATCGACTCATATTTCAGTTAATCGTAAATATCGAAACGTGATATCAAAGATCTGAACCGTTCATCTTCTTACATCCGCCAGATGATCATGTTTTCAAAAAAAAAAAATTAAATGAAATTCAGTAACAAGAATAAAGCGTAAATGACAATCGACGGTTAAATATAAATTTAAGGTTTATGGATTATAATGTTGGATTTCGAAGTTGACCCCTTTATGAAAGTTGTAAAGCTTGTCATTATGAGTCATTATATATATTTTTTTTACATTTTTTTCACTTCTACAATAATTATTATTAATTTTATTAATTTTGCCCTCAAATAAAAAACATTATTCATGAGGGTTTGGAGGATTTTAAAAATCTAAACGATAATGTAAGTGTAACTATTATCTACTCGTGGAGGAATAATGATGAATCACGAGTGTATATATATTTTTTCACATTTTTCATACTTGTATTGCATGTATGTCTTCTTAGTTCTTGCCTATACAAATACTATACTAGTTTATTTTAATTTTGGACAACAACATGTTAAGTAAAATTTATCATAGTAATGATAATAAGGAACTCTCATAATAAAAATAAATAATGACCAAAACTTTTTTTTTTAAACTTATATAGAATAATAATACAAAACTATATAATATATATTTAATATAGAATATATTGTATATATTAATATGGCTATTGTATTTTATAATAAATCTTTTAGTAATTAAACTTTAAAATTATCAAAATAATTTTTTTTCTTATCGTGTCGAAACAGGTTACCCACGTGTATACCCGTTAAGAACCCGTTATTAATGGGTTCTTATCGTGTCACCCGATAATGACCCGATCAGATATCGTGTTGACCTGAAACCCGTTATTTTCGTGTCGTTTTCGTGTCGTGTCGTGTTAGAAACTACCAGGTCTAAGGTTAGGAATATGTACCCCTTTCCTTGGGGTTTTCAGTGGCGTTTTTAATAGAATTACAGATTTGAGTGATGAATTTTTTCAATGGTGTTAAATTTTTAACAATTTGTGATGCTATTTGTAAAATTTAGTCAGAATTTTTTTATTAACAACTATTATATCATTTTTTATTCCAATTCGCAATTAGTTCTATTGTTAAATTTAAGGTTGATTATTTTTAGTAAATTTTTATACCTTATGTCCAAATACATGTACAATACTGTGTATGGTTTTCATAATGTTGCTGAGCATTTTGAGTATGCATTTTTTGTGTAGAGAGTGAAGGATGAACTGTTCACAAAGGCAAAATAGGGAACAACTACTACTTCATATGGGAAGAAGAGGTTAGTTTAATTGTAATTTTTTTATTTGGTTAAAATCAAAGTTGGTTGGCTTGCATCTAATTCGGTCATTTGCTGGCATATGAAGTCACTGGTTTTATTAATGCTGGTGATCAAAATCAATCCAAGTTAATGTTAAAACGATATCATTATTTTTGTTATGGTGAGGACTAAGAACTTATAAGCTTTTCTTTATATCTCTCATTTTTTTTAATTAAGAAAGTTACTTTTTTATACCTCTTTTGTGATCGTTTACTGAGAATTTGTTAATTATTTTAATATGTATGAGGTAGGATTTCTACGTTGATTTCTCATCTTTAGAGATTACTGGATTTCTACATTCATTTCTCATCTTTAGAGATTGCTGGATTTCATGTTGTCGAATAGTTTATGGATTTTTCATATTAAGTGCGTCAATATGTTGTTGTAGGAAAGATAGAAAATTTGGACCATTGGGTTGCATGTAAATTCCTTTCCAGAGTTTTAAAAATATGGCAGTTTGTGGCATCAACTGAATGACATGGTTGAAAAATTTAAAACTAACATGTACATTCAATTTTTATGTCAAACTATAACATTAACTTTAAATAGAACAACAAATCAACTTGGTTGCCTCTAGTGTGTCCACTAAAGAGTAAATGTGTGAAAAAATATGCTGGAAAAGAACAGTAAATCAATAATAAGTCGAAATACAGAGTTACATTTAGATAGTGAACAATTTGGGAAACACATGAGCAGGAATAAAGTTTTATGCATCTAACTGTTCTCAGAACCAGAAAAGTTAAAAACACTGCTAAACACTTGCTAGAAGAATTTTTTTGGTGTTTTTGTTTAAAAGTGACTCCAATGATGCAAAAATATAATTTAAGTGTGTTTTCATATGTAGTATGGTCCTGTAAAATTAGAAATAAAAAATGATCTAATTTCTAACTGATTAATCATCTATGGAAGCAAGCATGTGTCTGACCACATTCTATAATTGAAAAGCAAAATTGACAGATACGTAAATAATTAAACAACCCATTCAATCCTCAACAAAAGCTCACAGGAAGTAAAACTGCATCAACATGCGGCCAAAGCAACAAAAAGCTAAAAATCAGTACTGATTGAAAAACAAAATCACACAAAAAAATGCACCAACACGCAGCAAAAACGAAAAAAAAATCTAATTTCAAATAAATGTAAGAATACACTAATTTATCAATCTACAAACATGCATCTCTTGGTTCCTTACAACGTCAAGAACTTATGTGGTACAAAGGTGAAATTGTGCAAGCGTTCCATCAATTTTTGCCAACTTCTTATTAAACCGAGCTTATGACTACACTGAAATGACAAAGAAAATGCATATTATATCAACCTTTCACGCAGTTATGAAATATATGTGTTTGAATGTCACTGATCCTAATGGTAGATTTCATAAATCTGCACAGAAAAATTGTTCAGCCATTCTAGAATAAAATACCTGCTCTTCATGGATAAGTTTGATCTTCCATATATGGGCAATATATTGGTGTATCAAACTTGACCAAATGAGAGGAGAACAAAAAGAAAAAAGAAACCACTATCTTCAATGCACTATATTCTAAACCACTCATAAATTAAAAAGAGCAGCCAAATGAAAAACAATCACACCCACACTTATCAATTTACACATAAACTCCAATTCCGAATCATTTGAGCTCCCAAAAAATTCCGCATAAATGCAAAAGAAGATGCACAAATTGGAACAAATTTACATGCACCGGGCAATCAAGATTCACCCAAAATTGCTATGAAGTTCTGCTTCACAATACCTTGGAATTGACAACAGCTTTACAAAGCTTTTCAAAAGCTCAGATTCAGCTTTCAAATATGCAAGCTACATAACAGGGAAAACAAGATTAATTTAACTATAATTAACTAACCTGATTTAAGATTAATCAAAAACATTGGACATCAAATTAAAAAGTGATGAGGGACCATCTGAATGGTCACATAACATTGCAATAGACAGACCAAAAAGGGACATTAAAAGATCCATCAGGTTCCAAGATTAATTATTCAATAATTTAATTGCACTCCTGCAATGGTTGCAAAGAGAAACAAAAGAGCTCTCTATGAGGCTCTTGACAAACTGATCATATTTCTAAGATCCTTGTCAAGAATCACTTACTTGAGAACTCCATTGCTCAAATAAGAATATAAATTACATACTTATCGGTTTCAAACAATTATAGTCATACAAATTCTTTTTCTTGGTCAATGTAGTTTTTTTTTTTTTTTAACTTCAAAAAACTTGAAAATGAAGGGCAATCATATTGCCTGTAAAGAAACTATCTGAATGTTCATATAATTTTCTATCTTTATGCAATAGGATTCCCACGTATTACCATGAGTGTCTTGGGCGAACCACCATTTTAGACTAACCAAAGCATCAATTTATTATATTAACGTTTCATAACCATCAATTATCATGATATTATCAAATCGACTTAACCTTTATTTGGATAAATATTATCATGATTCAGCAACATCCCTAAACTTTCAAAAACCCAAATAGAAACAAAAACCCATCTAACATATTTCTACACCCAACTTACTTTTTGCCCCCATTTGATTTTTAACTAAACTATTAATATCTTTTTAAACCCAAATTTAATACCTAATATACCCCCATAAACCTAATTCAATATGTGGATTTATTTTTACACCCATTTGATTTTTAGAAGCTAAATTTGATGGGAGGAAGCTCCTCCTGTAATTTGTTCCATGGCAAGGAAGTGGTCTAGAATTCGTTGCACGCAGTCAACATTGTATAGAGTCTCCATAGAATAAGAGAAGTTTGGCATCAAAAGATCTTCCAACGTAGCTTGATCAAGCTGCATGCCAATTCTTTTCTCAAAATTTGATATGCAATAAGGGTTCGCTCGAAGAATCATGGCTGTTAGAAGTAGACCAAAAAAAATTTAGTTGGAACTACACACTTCTGAACTGGAAGTAACCGATCGACCTCTTCAAGTAAGAGCTTCAGGTCTTCTTCTGATGGAAGTAACCGATCGACCTCTTTAGAGGTGAGCGTAGCTTTCAAAAAGCCGAGCGAGTCATGATTTTTGAAATCAATCATGAAGCATAGACCTCATCAATAAAAAAAAACATATTTTTCTCTATAAGAGCTATTAGGGTTTTAGCCAGAATGAACGTAGGATAAACAAAGAATAATCTTTGACAAAAAAA